AGGTGCGACTGCACCCTGCGTGACGGGAGATGTCTCCCCCGTGAGTTGCATGTATTGATTTGATTGATGAAGATTAAGCCACCCAAAAGGTGGCACGGGCATGAATAGCCCGTAAGTGGTGGCCCTTTTAAGCCATTACCAGTATCAAGAGCTGATACTGGAGATCTGTGGAGGTGCGAATGCACCCTGCAGTTGCATGTAAAAAGGTATGAACATATATAGGCAGGAGAGTGGTCAAGTTAAGTGAGGTACAATGATAAAAAAAAATATGACAGGGATTGGGTGGGTATAAATAGGAGCAGCATCCTATGAGCCAATAGGCCTTCTGCAGTTACCTTTGTTCTTATGTTCTTATGGCCCAATAGCATAAGATAGAGAATATTAACAATTAATTAATAAGACAAATGTGTATCAATGATCCTACTCCTATCGCCCTTTAACTGATATATCAAAAATGGATCTAAATTATATAAACTACTGCTAATGTTAAAATTACATGCTTTTGTAATCTGTGTTAAAGCAGATTCAATTATGTTGTTTCAATTACTAAATTGAAAGTGCTTTTACAATTCGTTATTGAAGAAGTCATCTCCAAATCAATTTGATGAGAATTTTCTGACAAATGAACAAACAAAGCATTAGACAATTGGCCATGTCTTACAGAGTATTTATGTTGCGAAATTCTACATTTCAAATCTTTAGATGTTTGCCCAACATTCAACCTATTACAGTCTTTACAAGATATTTTATAAATGACACAATTATCACTACAAGGACTGTTTCTAACTAATAGTTTACCAACAGTAATTTCATAGCTAAACAATACATGTATATCAAAACGTTTCAAGGCCTTGACCATATTTTCAAACCCAGATATACATATATATATATTGTGACGGTAAAGCGTTGGTGTTCGGCTGTTTCAAAAGCTAGGGGCAGGGCCTCGTCACATAAAGAATAAAAAAGAGAAAAGCTGGAACTTTCGTCTGTGGTAAGGTAATGGGAAGACACACAAAACACAAGTAAATTTAACAATGAAATTTTAATTACGTTAGAAAAGCAAGACATGAATAAAATTGAGTATAAAATATAACAGACAAGTCAACAAACAAAATAATAAGAATAATCACTGGCAAATGAAAAGTTACGTTAAGACAAGTGAATAATAGCAAAGTAAATGATGATAGTGCCGGAATATTGGCTTCGAGCTGCCACCTCCCTTAGTACACGTAAGCCAAGGCTTAGTCTACCAATGAGACGTGTCAACTGCAAGGAGCACTGAGATATTCTGCCTTCTCTGGGTCGCTGCAGCCCAGACATCAACTCGTGGTGGAGGGTGGTGGGGCAGGTGCGACTGGGCACCAGCCAATCAGCGACAGGCAGGCGATGGACAAGCAGTTTGCCGGTTAACGGTGGCGGAGGCGAGCAGGTGCGCCGGTGGGCTGGATACGTTTTGCTCTCTGGGCAAAATGTTTTGGAGATACTTGCTGGATATATCTTCTTTGGAGGGAAGAGCAGGCTCAATCTCTCTTGAAAGAGATTATCGTCACAATATATATATATATATATATATATATATATATATATATATATATATATATATATATATATATATATATATTTTTAAGGCACAACTCTCCTAAACACGAGAGTGAAGTATACAACTTTAGAACACTTTCCCACCAGGAGACTCGAACCCTCGCCAGCACAGAAGCCTTACAGCAACTGGCATAACAGGTACGCCGTAACCCGCTCCACCACCTGCTCAGACCCTTAAAAGAGATGGTAATTTCGGAGTATTTATACATTCCAAAGATCACCACCTCCCAAGAGCACTAGAGCAAGTGAGGGGTCATTTATACGTTTATTTCATCAAGTCCCTGTTAATATGGGAGAACACTGTGTCTATGAACTTAAGGCACAACTCTCCTAAACACAAGAGTGAAGTATACAACTTTAGAACACTTTCCCACCAGGAGACTCGAACCCTCGCCAGCACAGAAGCCTTCCAGCAACTGGCATAACAGGTACGCCTTAACCCGCTCCACCACCTGCTCAGACCCTTAAAAGAGATGGGAGTATTTATATTCGGAGTATTCATATATTTATTTCATCAAGTCAATATGGATCACCACCTCCCAAGAGCAACTAGGAGCAAGTGAGGGGTCATTTATACGTTTATTTCATCAAGTCCCTGTTAATATGGGAGAACACTGTGTCTATGAACTTAAGGCACAACTCTCCTAAACACGAGAGTGAAGTATACAACTTTAAAACACTTTCCCACCAGGAGACTCGAACCCTCGCCAGCACAGAAGCCTTCCAGCAACTGGCATAACAGGTACGCCTTAACCCGCTCCACCACCTGCTCAGACCCTTAAAAAGAGATGGTAATTTCGGAGTATTTATATATTCCAAAGATCACCACCTCCCAAGAGCACTAGAGCAAGTGAGGGGTCATTTATACGTTTATTTCATCAAGTCCCTGTTAATATGGGAGAACACTGTGTCTATGAACTTAAGGCACAACTCTCCTAAACACGAGAGTGAAGTATACAACTTTAGAACACTTTCCCACCAGGAGACTCGAACCCTCGCCAGCACAGAAGCCTTCCAGCAACTGGCATAACAGGTACGCCTTAACCCGCTCCACCACCTGCTCAGACCCTTAAAAGAGATGGTAATTTCGGAGTATTTATATATTCCAAAGATCACCACCTGCCAAGAGCACTAGAGCAAGTGAGGGGTCATTTATACGTTTATTTCATCAAGTCCCTGTTAATATGGGAGAACACTGTGTCTATGAACTTAAGGCACAACTCTCCTAAACACGAGAGTGAAGTATACAACTTTAAAACACTTTCCCACCAGGAGACTCGAACCCTCGCCAGCACAGAAGCCTTCCAGCAACTGGCATAACAGGTACGCCTTAACCCGCTCCACCACCTGCTCAGACCCTTAAAAGAGATGGCAATTTCGGAGTATTTATATATTCCAAAGATCACCACCTCCCAAGAGCACTAGAGCAAGTGAGGGGTCATTTATACGTTTATTTCATCGCCCCTCACTTGCTCTAGTGCTCTTGGGAGGTGGTGATCTTTGGAATATATAAATACTCCAAAATTACCATCTCTTTTAAGGGTCTGAGCAGGTGGTGGAGCGGGTTAAGGCGTACCTGTTATGCCAGTTGCTGGAAGGCTTCTGTGCTGGCGAGGGTTCGAGTCTCCTGGTGGGAAAGTGTTCTAAAGTTATATATATATATATATATATATATATATATATATATATATATATATATATATATATATATATATATATATATATATTTACTATAAAATTTACAATGACAATTTACTATAAAACCAAAAAAAACGGCCAGCCTACTCATGAGAAACTCTCCAGACACAAAGTAGAACGTTTTAAAAGAGACCAACGTCGTCTATGCCTTCAAATGCCCTCTTCGGGATTGTAAGCCTCAAAAAACTCAGTATATAGGCAAGCCAACAACATCTCTTTCCAGGCATTTAACGATGCATAAGCAACAGGGCTCCATTAAGGAACATATAGCCTCTTCTCACAACCAAACCATCACCAGAGAAATCTTAGCAAACAACACAGAAATCATCGATAGATACAGCAATAGCAGGCGGCTCGACGTCTGCGAGGCACTACACATCAAGAAGTCAACACCAGCAATCAACAGCCAATTAATGCACAACTATATTCTACCCACTTCAAGACTCCGCTCCAATATAGAAGCATCAAGAAATATGGGCCAATAAAAATAGGCCTTCTGCAGTTACCTACTTTTAATACCTGTTTGTATTTCATTGTTTCGTGTTCTGTCTTGTGTTAAAAGTTTATTTTCACCTCATCCAAAACTATTGTAACATGTCACTTCACCCAAATGTCGGTATAAAAACTCGAAAGATGTTTAAGCTCTATTCAGTTAAAGTTGTGTGTGTGTAAACTAAAGTCTTTGAAAATGTAATAAGTTTTACGAAACGCGCTCAAGTGTCGCGTCAGACTAGAAATAAAAATGAATTTTGGAGAATTGATCTTTGAATTACCATCAACAGTGAAAAGAAACTTAAGAAAGATCGAGAAAATTCGTTAGAATTATTAATCTTACTTTTTCGGTCATATTTAATAATATACAGGAAAGACTGCTACCAAAATATACTAATATATATATATATATATATATATATATATATATATATATATATATATATATATATATATATATATATATATATATATATATATATATATATATATATATATATATATATATATATATATATATATAATGTATTCAGTCTTTCTGTCCCCGAGCAAAATTGTTTAATGCCAATGATAAAGTAATTAAACATAAGTCTGGACACTGAAGTTCTCAGCCCTGGCAGCTGACTCTACTCTACACATACGTGTGAGAGCACACATGCACCCTTCTCAGCCTGGCCAGCACCAGGGAGACGTGGCCAACATCAGGGAGGCGTGGCCAACATCAGAGAGGCGTGGCCATCACCAGGGAGGCGTGGCCAGCACCAGAGAGGCGTGGCCATCACCAGAGAGGCGTGGCCATCACCAGAGAGGCGTGGCCATCACCAGAGAGGCGTGGCCATCACCAGAGAGGCGTGGCCATCACCAGAGAGGCGTGGCCATCACCAGAGAGGCGTGACCATCACCAGAGAGGCGTGGCCATCACCAGAGAGGCGTGACCATCACCAGAGAGGCGTGGCCATCACCAGAGAGGCGTGGCCATCACCAGAGAGGCGTGACCATCACCAGAGAGACGTGGCCAACATCAGAGAGGCGTGGCTAACATCAGAGAGGCGTGGCCATCACCAGAGAGGCGTGGCCAACATCAGGGGAGTCGACTACTACTGGCTTAGCACCTTCTTCAGATAATTACCTCCTGATAGGAAGGCGGAGCCAAGAAGTCAGGGGGTAATACCTCGTGCAGTTGCCCTGTGGGCTCACTGCTCGCCCGGACCCCAGCCAGCACTTCACTGCTCGCCCGGACCCCCAGCCAGCACTTCACTGCTCGCCCGGACCCCTAGCCAGCACTTCACTGCTCGCCCGGACCCCCAGCCAGCGCCACCATTAACTATACTCTCGGCTTCCATCTCTCCACTGACCAGTAAGTCGTAGTGAGAATTCTCAGGTTCTGATTGTATCATATATTAATAATTTGTGTGGTAAAATATAGATAAAGATAGGATCAGTAAGGACCTTTAACCTAGTAAATCATAGTTAATTAACAAAGCCTGATAAAACTCGTATGCACTCAAAAAAGTAATTACACAATAAGGAATCAATATTCTTAGCTAATGTCCAGCCAAAGAGCCTTAATGTTTCATAATAATAATTAGTAATGGTAATGTCTTCTCTCAGACATAATAACATAGGATGAAAACCCACACTTGTATGTTTGTGAAATTTGTAAGGAACTTAAACCAAGTCTTTCACACTCTCCTGAGTGTTTTATTAAGGTCTGAGTGTGTGGTTAGGACCAGACTTACATCTCAACGTCTAATGAATGAGAAGTTAATATGTAAATCTGGTCCTAATCACACACTCAGACCTTGACAAAGCACTCAAGAGAGTGCGACAGACTTGGTATAAATTCCTTACATAAATTTCACAAACACACAAGTGTGGGTTTTTATCCTAAATAATAATAATAATAATAATGATAATGAGAAAATCCACAATAATAATAAAAATTCTTTTGCTTCTCTTATCAATATATGACGATAATGAGATCTTGGTAATGGACTGGTTGGCAAAATCTGCCTGATTTATCAACTTAACTCTAGCCTCTCTAGCCTAACTCTCTAAATCGTTATTAATAAATAACTCTAATGATTTGATTCAGGTAACTGCAATAATGATAGTTACTAGTTATATATCATTAGCATCATGTTAAAGAATGATTATATTTATTATCTTGAAGTAAATGTTATTACTTGATAACTACGCAAGAATTGATTTATAATCCTGATAATTATTGCTTAACGTTGTTAAGACTTGATATGATTTAACTAGGATTGCTAATATATAATATATACAGAAAATAATTGTTATGGATTAAGTTAATCAACTAATTAATAGCCACTAACTGTAGCTTTTGGACTTTTGCCATTGGCTTAACGATCAACAGCTATAAATAGGAATTATTAATGACACAATTGCCCAAATTGGCCAATGAAGTCTAATTGGCCTGAGTCTTACGTGTGGGGCACAACAATTACTCTTGTGATGTGCCACGAAATATTCACTTATTTTCGTGTTTTTTTTACATTCTGCACACAAATTATTAATTATATTACAAAAAATTATTTGTTGGAACTTTTATATATTTTCTTGTGTATTTAGGCGGTTATATTTCTCCATAGCCGCTGTCTAAGGGTTATAGGACCTGCTTTGCAGGATCAATGTTGAAAACTCAGTAGCGTTGGTTGATTCAGATTGATAGGCTGTGGCGTTGGTTGATTCAGACTGATAGGCTCTGGAGTAAGTTGATTCAGAATGATAGGCTGTGGCGTTGGTTGATTCAGAATGATAGGCTCTGGAGTAAGTTGATTCAGATTGATAGGCTGTGGCGTTGGTTGATTCAGACTGATAGGCTCTGGAGTAAGTTGATTCAGAATGATAGGCTGTGACGTAGGTTGATTCAGACTGATAGGCTGTGGCGTTGATTGATTCAGACTGATAGGCTGTGGCGTTGATTGATTCAGACTGATAGGCTGTGTTTTTTTTTCAGGAATATTCCTGCGTGGGCCCTAAGCCTCTGGCTGGCCCACTAAGTGTTGCTTGTTTCTGTTTTACTTGGGCGGAGTATGAGTATTTATTACTCGTATGGTCGCTTCAGTAAGATTTGGCCATATGTGTTTAACAACTTCTTCTGCTCTGTTGAATCTAAGTTGAAATCTTAATGGGTTTGTAACAGTGCACTGTGTTAGATAATGTTCCAGTGGTCTGTCGGGCATTTCTCCACAGTGCCGACATTTCCTCTCATCTTCCGGAACCTGTAAGCCTATTTCCCATGCACATGGGTATCCAAGCCTGATGCTATGTAAGTGTACTTCTGTTGTTCTACTGCTCCCTTTCATCAAACTAAGTGGTTCGTAGTTGGTTGAATTCTTGTACCAACCCGCAGATCCTGATGTTGCAACTGCTGTACTCACCTAATATTGTTGTGGTCACTGTACATCTTTTGCATTGCTCTGTTTCTAATTACTTTCTTAATCTGTGATAGATTCTGAGGGATGTAAATGTCTACATTTCTTCACTAAGTTCACACAGAAAGCAAATTTTGGATACTTCGCTATGATTCCTGGCAGTATATCATTATGAATGAAGTACTTACACATTTCTTGAACACAATTGATGGTGTTATCTCTGAATTCCGCTGTTGGTTCACATTCCATTATATAATGACGCAAAGTGTGTGAATAGTTCTGTTGACGGAGTTTGCATTTAGTCAAATCTACATCAGCAGATGTTACAAACTCCCAGAGGTACTTGTAGCCGAGCCTAAGCCTAGCAGTGGTAACATCTAGAAGTCTGCTAACCTTATTGGATGACCCATAGACGTGCGGTTCTTCCTGCATAATAGAATGATAGATGGAGGAACTGGCTTGAATTTCACTTTGCTTCAAGTCTACGAGATTTTGTTGCTGTTCCCGGAATATTACTGCCCCTCACTAACACTGTAACGACTGGAAGAGGGACAATACAATTTGGACAATAAGGAGCAGGGTGGCGCTCCGTTAAGTGACCGTGAGTTAAGCGAGTATGGCCAATACGCAACCTTGCCAAAATCGTTTCCCATCGCCGGTTACAGTGGTAGGAGGAAGGCCATGAGGACACACTACCCTTAAGAGTACGCAATTTCTTACCAGTAACAGAAGACCAACAATCCTGCCAACGGGCAAGGATGGAGGAATGAATAACCGGGTAAAAGTCGGAATAAGGAATACCTTTACGGGAGACGGGACAAGAGCGGACAGCTTCCCTAGCGGCAGCGTGCGCATGCTCATTTAAAGAAACACCAATATGCCTGGGAACCCAGCAAAACCGAGCTGACTTAAATTTACTGGAAACAAGAAACAGCCAATGTTTAATCTCGAAGACTACTGGATGGACCGGACTGAAGGACCCGAGAGCCATGAGGGCACTACGAGAGTCAACGACAACCACAAGGGAAGATTGACAACGAGAAAACAGGAGACGAAGAACATAGAGAATAACATAAAGTTCTGCTGTGAAGTTGCTAGTTTCTCCTGTTTGTGACTGCTTACTGTTTACCGTTGATGGGAAAGTCTTAGATGTGTTGATCAAACCACACATGAGAAGATGAGGAGACAACGACGTTTCGGTCTGTCCTGGACCTGATAATGGTCCAGGATGGACCGAAACGTCGTCGTTTCTCAATGTTCTGATGTCAGGGGGACGACACACGCTCCTGGTGTCTGTCAGAGGACGACACACGCTCCTGGTGTCTGCCAGAGGACGACACACGCTCCTGGTGTCTGCCAGAGGACGACACACGCTCCTGGTGTCTGTCAGAGGACGACACACGCTCCTGGTGTCTGTCAGAGGACGACACACGCTCCTGGTGTCTGTCAGAGGACGACACATGCTCCTGGTGTCTGTCAGAGGACGACACACGCTCCTGGTGTCTGTCAGAGGACGACACACGCTCCTGGTGTCTGTCAGGGTAACGACACACGCTCCTGGTGTCTGTCAGAGGACGACACACGCTCCTGGTGTCTGTCAGAGGACGACACACGCTCCTGGTGTCTGTCAGGGGGACGACACACGCTCCTGGTGTCTGTCAGAGGACGACACACGCTCCTGGTGTCTGTCAGAGGACGACACACGCTCCTGGTGTCTGTCAGAGGACGACACACGCTCCTGGTGTCTGTCAGGGTAACGACACATGCTCTTAGTGTCTGTCAGGGGGACGACACACGCTCCTGGTGTCTGTCAGAGGACGACACATGCTCCTGGTGTCTGTCAGGGGGACGACACACGCTCCTGGTGTCTGTCAGGGGGACGACACACGCTCCTGGTGTCTGTCAGAGGACGACACACGCTCCTGGTGTCTGTCAGAGGACGACACATGCTCCTGGTGTCTGTCAGAGGACGACACACGCTCCTGGTGTCTGTCAGGGGGACGACACACGCTCCTGGTGTCTGTCAGGGTAACGACACATGCTCTTGGTGTCTGCCAGGGGGACGACACACGCTCCTGGTGTCTGTCAGGGGACGACACACGCTCCTGGTGTCTGTCAGGGGGACGACACACGCTCCTGGTGTCTGTCAGAGGACGACACACGCTCCTGGTGTCTGTCAGAGGACGACACACGCTCCTGGTGTCTGTCAGAGGACGACACAAAGATATATCTTCGTGTGTCGCAGCCCCACAAGAAGCTGACTGATGAGCACCTACTCACTGCCAGGTGAACAGCGGCATTAGGTGAAAGGAAATGTGCCCAACCCATTTCTGTCCCGCCCGGAATTCTCGATTGTGCGTTAAGAACAAACCCGACTGTACTATCTTGAGGTTATCTTGAGATGATTTCGGGGCTTTAGTGTCCCCGCGGCCCGGTCCTCGACCAGGCCTCCACCCCCAGGAAGCAGCCCGTGACAGCTGACTAACTCCCAGGTACCTATTTACTGCTAGGTAACAGGGGCATTCAGGGTGAAAGAAACTTTGCCCATTTGTTTCTGCCTCGTGCGGGAATCGAACCCGCGCCACAGAATTACGAGTCCTGCGCGCTATCCACCAGGCTACGAGGCCCCTCCAAGACTACTAACCCTCCGGCCCCTCCGAGACTACTAACCGAGTCTCATTGAATTACAGCGAATTAAACTTGCGAATTAGGCTCTGAAGCTGTATATTTCGTCCCACACAGGAGCATGGAGCGACCACGAGCTTGTAAGAAGACTTCTCTGGCCGATCGCGTGATCTTCGTCGAGCTGTGGCACAGAGGGAAGTCCGCGCGAGCCATCGCTCGAGAGAGGAACATCAGCGTCTCCACCGTCTGCAGGTGGCTCAACCGATGGAAACTGGAGGGACACTTGAACACGAAGCTCTACGGAGAAAAGAATCTGTCAACGCTTGTTAGAAAAGATGTTGATGGAGCAAGATTGATGTCCATGGCGTGTTTACATCCTGCCCAGCCTCCTCCTGCTGCTGCTGCTGCTGCTGCTGCTGGTGACTGGAGGATGTTCGCCCACCTGTACCCGTATATCCACACCCACCCACATCATCCCAAGCGTACTAATAGCCACAATTACTGTCTGAGTGTGAAGGTGTCGCAAGCCTACGACCACAGAACAAACTCTGCCTTCACTGGCTACTGATCTATGCTCAGTTATGGCCAAGATTTATTAACGTCATTTTCCATATATATTTAAAATATGATTTTGCAAATCTGTCTTTAAATAAGAATTAGAAATTACTTGAAAAACTTTTTATAAACCCTGGGAAACACTGAAATGTAATTGTAACATAATTAGTATAGCATGTGTGTTGCTTTTTACATCCAACAGATGGCGCTGTTTTTCAAAAACGCATGTTTTTGCCTGTCACAGGTGTGGCATCTATATAGTAGGTATATAAAAACACGCGCCTATTCGAATGCAACGTTGTGTGAAAATTTCAAAGCAATCGGTGAAGAACTTTCGGAAATTAGCGGTTATGCCCAAACGAACATTTCCATTTTCAATTATATAGAAGATTATTATTAATTATTATTATTATTAATTATTATTATTAATTATTGTTATTATTAAATATTATTATGATTAACTTATCAATTATCAATGTAAAATTATAGTAAACGAGGTTGATGAAGTGAAGGATTTAATTAATTAACCTTGCTGGGTGCATTCGTGTTCAGCAATAATGTTCTCTCTCTCACACACACACACACACACACACACACACACACACACACACACACACACACACACACGTACACACACACACACACACACGTACACACACACACACACACACACACACACACACACACACACACACACACACACACACACACACACACCAAGAATGTTCAGCGGTGTACTGTGTGCAAGCAACTGCTAGGAGAGAATACTGAAGCTGTGCAATGGAATCGAACCCTCGTCCCTGATCTTCTGAGGCGCACGCACTACCGACTGGTGCAACACCTGTACTTATGACACAAACAAATAACCACTGAACTTGTGACACAAACAAACAAACATGTAACAATTTCCGTGTCTCTACAAACAAAGTTATTGATAAATTATATAAGATTATATAAGATTATATCAGATTATATCAGATTATATAAGATTATATAAGATTATATAAGATTATATAAGATTATATAAGATTATATAAGATTATATAAGATTATATAAGATTATATAAGATTATATCAGATTATATCAGATTAGTCATGCCATTACTTAATGGTCAGAATATATGCTGATGGCATTGTTCCTCCAATTGAATTGATCGGTAAAGCAAGGAAGACAATTCTTGCAAGGTCGGGGTTCGATTCCCCGATGTGCACCGACCTCTCGTATCCTATCCCATATAATTGCTATAGTCATACTGGCTTAGTGCTTTATCCTATTAATTAAATTTTTAATTATTAAATTGACAATGTCCAGGACTGGTTTATGGCTTCTAAATAATGTTATAAGTCTCTCTCCTTTTCATACCAGTATGCTCACAGGTTCTGGGTTCGATCCCCGGTGGAGGCGGAAACAAATGGGCAGAATTTCTTTCACCCTGATGCTCCTGTTCACCTAGCAGTAAATAGATACTTGAGAGTTAGACAGCTGCTACGGGCTGCTTCCTGGGGATGTGTAACAAAAGGAAGGCATGGTCGAGGACCGGGCCGCGGGGACGCTAAGCCCCGAAATCATCTCAAGAAGATCCTGGGGCCAGGAAGTGGTCCTATCCCATTACCCTGACGCAAGGGGTAGTTCTATCCTATATCCCAGACCGACGATTCTTCAATCTCTTGCGAAACCTGTACATCTTTTCTCAACCCTGGCCAGACGTATTTGCATATATTAAACAGTTGACTCTGAAGCACAGCAAGGTTAACTTGCGATGCTTTCGGGGCTCAATGTCCCCGCGGCCCGGTCCTCGACTAGGCCTCCTACGAGGTTTACGAGATCGTAAATTGTCCTTCGCACCATAAGCCTTAAGATGTCACGCTGTTGACGAAACGTCGCAATGAAATGGAAATATTAAGTGATCTAATAAGAACATAAGAACATAAGAACAAAGGTAACTGCAGAAGGCCTATTGGCCCATACGAGGCAGCTCCTATTCTATAACCACCCAATCCCACTCATATACATGTCCAACCCGCGCTTGAAACAATCGAGGGACCCCACCTCCACAATGTTACGCGGCAATTGGTTCCACAAATCAACAACCCTGTTACTGAACCAGTATTTACCCAAGTCTTTCCTAAATCTAAACTTATCCAATTTATACCCATTGTTTCGTGTTCTGTCCTGTGTTGATAATGTTTGTTCTGCTCTCAAGATGTACTTGTGTACATGTATGTATCTGAGACTTAGTACATATTGTAACTCTCAGTAGTTTAAAACAATTCAAAACCCAGAGTGTATTGATCTTCCTAAAAAACAAACAATTTTACTAATAATTTTACGTACACAACTCATCTTACATTTTATCAACTGTGACAATTTTCAAGCTAAACGAAATTTCTTTCATCCTAAACTTGCTTCCAATACTAGTAGCACTGTACTGTGCCTTCCCTTCATATCTGATCTCAAAATTCTTACTAATACAGTCTCCGTGGTGTAGTGGTAAGACACTCGCCTGGCGTTCCGCGAGCGCTATGTCATGGGTTCGTATCCTGGCCGGGGAGGATTTACTGGGCGCAATTCCTTAACTGTAGCCTCTGTTTAACGCAACAGTAAAATGTGTACTTGGTTGTAACAACGATTCTTCGCGGCAGGGGATCGTATTCCAGGGACCATAGGATTAAGGACTTGTCCGAAACGCTACGCGTACTAGTGGCTCTACAACCATGTAACAACTCTTGTATATATCTCAAAAAAAATACCTTTCGTCCTCTTGACATAAAGCTCACCTTTCGACAAACTAACACACTTCGTAGCAATCTGGTACAAAAGAAGTGTCAAGTCTGCAGACACAAACAATGCTCTCTTCTGTCATGTTAGGGACTCTAATCATCCTGTTGATTGGTCTTTTAAAATAATCTTTCCTGCTACTCTTCACAGATGTGTTGGTGATGCGGCTCTGATACACAACATGAACCTGAGTCTTGGCTTTGTTGCTGTTGACTCTTCCCTTCCACAGTATATACTCAAATGTTCCAAACTTTATAACAAGTAATTATCAAAAGAAGGCACCAAACCGGGAAGGCTATGTAACTTTATAACAAACGTGACCTAACATAAGCCTTTTCCTTTTTTTCCCCCTTTTCTTTGTCTTATTCTTACGCTCCCTTTCTTCTGTCCCCCTATTATTACACCCATGCCATCCGTACCTCTTTATGCTTCTTGCTCTTACCTTTTCGCCTTGCTCTTACCTTCTGGGATTTATCTCCTCTCACCTGTTCCTCACCTCACTCTTGCCTTAATGTGCGTGCCTACCTTGCTCCCATTTTAACACATTCACGGGAGACATCTCCCGTCACGCAGGGTGCAGTCGCACCTCCACAGATCTCCAGTATCAGCTAATGATACTGGTAATGGCTCAAAAGGGCCACCACTTACGGGCTATTCATGCCCGTGCCACCTCTTGGGTGGCTTAATCTTCAATCAGTCACTCTCATTGTCATAGTGGCTGGATTGGCCCGAAGCTGATGCACTGAACACCCCATGCTTCCTGAAACACTGACCTGAAACACTGACCTGAAACATTGACCCGGAGACCGGAAGCACAGGAGCGGCCATTGTCACCTTGCTCTCCAGACGAGGCGACACAGCAAAATATCCACACTGTGTCGTGTAGGGATGTGCTGGGTCATTGTCTGGTTGTTAGGGGGGTGAGGGGTGGGGGGTGTAACACATCACCCCCCACAGATGTCGTTGTCAAGAAATAATCTCCGACTCACCACAACGAGGAGTCACCAGTCTGGTAGGTAGGAATTTGTGGTGTATGTATTAGTCTAGAGCCATCTGCTCGTGTATGGGCACATGACCTTACAGACGAGTTGGTCGATTTGCGTGTGTGTTAAGGTTAGGCTGTTGTTCATAGTTAATGTTTGATAAGTAATACTTTGGCTACATTCCATCTCCTGTTGTGTTGAATCTCTCTGGTAATGGTCTGGTTGTGTGTAAAAAAATGATGTGACCGTTGACAGAAACTTCTTGTTAGTGCATTGTCAAGTACTTTGAAAGAGATATATTGCCACAATCGACTTGAGAATGGTCCAGGACGGACCGAAACGTCGTCATCCCTTCACCTTCTAGCGTGTGGTCTGGTTAACATATATTGCCACCTTTCCTATATCAGCCACTTCTTCTATCCAGAGAATCTATCGACACCGATGCTCCTGCTGATGATACTATCTTGAAGGAGGGTGCTTAAAGAATGCAAAGAGGAGCTTTCCGAGCCACTGTCTACCATATTTAATAAATCAAGAGTTAGGTAGAGTGCCAGAGTCATGGAAGGTAGCTAATGTGGTACCAAATTAACGACACACATTCATCTCTTCAGTTTTATTGTTCCTTAAATTTTATGGGTGATACACGCAACTGTATACACCACTTTCTTCTTACAGAACATTGAGGAGGAAGCTGATATATTCTCAAACATCAGTACAAGGAACTGGGTGTACGGGGATGCCCAGTGCCGCCTCTGGCGATGGTTGCTGTGGGGTTACTGGTGCTGCTCCTGTCGGGCATGGCACGTCCAGCGGCCTCACTCAAGCCAAATCTTAATGGTAATAGAACCTGTAAACTTGGTTCACTGTATGTATACATTACATATAGTGTGATGTATGGATATTACAGGATACTTCCTGCAGGAACTATTCTTGAAATGTTCATTTTTTTAGCAATATAACTTATATTTGTTGGCAAGACTCTGTAAAGTCATGGACATTGTTCTTGGATAACTGTACCAACATTTCCGTTACTATCTTGTAACAAACTTAATTGTTTCTCTCTTGTAGTGAGTCAGGAGGAACTCATACTTGGGAGCTGCGCTGTGGAGGTGATGTTGGCGACTCTCTCTAACCCTCGCTGCTCTGTCATCCTAGTGAAGGACCACCACCCCACACTCGATACTCTTCCTAGGGTGAGTCTCACTCTCACCTGTTGCTAGGGTGAACTTTACCCTTATTTTCAGGGAAGCGAGTGTCGGGTTTCCGGAGGGTTAGCATTATGTCTGTCTGTGCGCGCGTTTGTTTTTTTACACCTAGTTGCGCTTGCGGGGATTGAACTCTGCTCTTTCGGCCCATTTATCAACTGTCAATCAATCAGCTGTTACTAACTACTGACTCCCTTCTCCCCCCCCCCTCAGGAAGCAGCCCATAACAGCAGTCTAACTCCCAGATACCTATTTACTGCTAGGTAACAGGTACATCAAGATGAAAGATACTCTGCCCATTTTGTTTTTCGCCAGCGCCGGGAATAGAATCCGGTTGTAGTCAACTACAAAAGGAGGACCGACAGCGAGAAAGTAAGTAGACAAAGAGCATACTGAATAGCATAAAGTTCTGCCGTGAAGATGCTAATCTCCGGAGGCAGGCGACACACACAAGGGTGGTCAGGAAAAACAACAGTAGCCTTCTCCATCAGCAGACTTAAACCCATCGGTGAAGATGGAAATGGAGCGGTAGTGGAAAGAAAAGTGCTCAAGGAAAAGGCGTTTCAGAACTGTAGGAGGTTATCTTAAGATGATTTGATTTGATGATTTCGGGGCTTTAGTGTCCCCTCGGCCCGGTCCTCGACCAGGCCTCCACCCCCAGGAAGCAGCCCGTGACAGCTGACTAACACCCAGGTACCTATTTTACTGCTAGGTAACAGGGGCATAGGGTGAAAGAAACTCTGCCCATTGTTTCTCGCCGGCGCCTGGGATCGAACCCAGGACCACAGGATCACAAGTCCCGCGTGGGTCAGGGTTTTACAAAATTTAGGAAAGGGACCAAGGACTGAACACGAGGAGAAATATTGGTAACAGTAACCAAAAGAGAATTTTGTAGGCGAGACCACCGGACAAGAAGAGGGAGGTGGTGAAAGGGAAACAGGAGGGATAAAATTCAAAGCACGACATAGGCGAGAGTGAAGGTGCTGTAAGGCCCGCGCAAGATAGCGAAGACAGTAGCGGTCACAGCGGTCCTGGAGAGACAGGAAGCCAGTGTCAACATACAAGCTGAGGGCGGGAGTCGAACGAAAGGCACCAGAGCTGAGGTGCAACCCAGTATGGTGCAAAGCATCAAGACGGCGAAGAGTAGAAGGAGAAGCAGACGAGTAAGCAGGACAACCATAATCGAGTTTAGACAGGACGAGAGAAAAATGTGGAGAGAGGAGCGGGCACCTATCTGCTCCCCAAGAAGTATGGGACAAAACCTTAAGTAGATGAAGGACCTTAGAGCATTCAACTCGGAGGTAAGAGATATGGGGCGACCAAGACAAACGAGTGTCAAAGATTAACCCCAAAAGCTTAGCGGAATCTTTGTACTCAAGGGGATGACCATAAAGTTACAGAGGGACGAAGAACGACCAGTTTCCGAGTAGAAGTCATAACACAAGTTTTAGTAGCAGAGAACTTGAGGCCTTGATTGGTGGCCCAAGACGACACGGCATCAATCACAAGTTGAAGCCACCGTTGGAGGAAAGGCAAGTCATCACCTTGACAGCAGAGAATGAGATCAACATAAAGAGCGGGGAAAATGTTAGAGGGAAGGGAGGAAAGAAGACCATTGAGGGCAACCAGGAAAAAGAGTAGTGCTCAGAACACTACCCTGGGGCACACCTTCGTATTGCTGAAAAGAGGCAGAGAGCAGTACCAAGCCGCACTCTAAAGGAACGACAAGAGAGGGAGATTACCACGAAGGCCAAAACAACGGAGTTGGGACAGAATATGTTATCTCCAGGTGGTGTCATGCCTTTTCCAGGACAAAAAGAACAGCAACAATGGAGGTCTCCGCAGCAAAGGCAGTACGAATATAGACCTCCAAGTTCACGAGGACATCAGTCGTGCTGAGACACTCGCGAAAGTCCAATTGAGACGGAGAAGTGGTGATAGCGTTCCAAGAACCACATCAGACGGACATTGACCATATGCTCAAAGTTTACAGACGCAACTCTTGAGAGCAATGGGGCGGAAGTCTTTAGGGGTTGACCCTGAGAACCAGGCTTCTGAATAGGAAGAACAACCACCTGAAGCCAGTCCTCAGGGACTGATGACTTCCAGATATAGTTATAAACACTCGGTAAATACTGAAATGTGCAGAGGGGGAAGATGGCGAAGCATCTCATAATGAATATCATCTGAGCCCGCTGCCGTAGAACCACATAGGGCAAAGACAGACTGAAGTTCTGAGAGAGAAAGGATCATTATAGGGAAGCTGAAAAGAAGTGCAAAAGTCTAAGGGAAAAAGATTCAAGAAGGGGGCTTACGAGTAAGTAAAGAAGGAGGAAGATGCGAGCCGGCAGCCGTTCTCCAAACACAGATCCAAAAGTGATTCCATGCACCCGCCAAATCCCGTTTATGAATGAAAAAAAAGGTTTACACACGACTCAACTGATTTCGTTTGAATACTGCCAGAACACTTCGCTTCACTGACGAATTTTGTTCGAAGCACAACACTGTAAATGCTTCACCCATGTACTACAAATAATCGCCAACAGAGCTTAAACACCTAGCCTAATCTATGCCTACATGTGCACAATATACTATTATAATTAATATTTGAGAAAATTCCCATTTTGAATGAACAGGATATAAAAATTTATGAACGCGTCTGTGGGGTTGACCGCTGAATGTAATGGACTTGAGTCGAGGACGGGTTGGAGCCGAAGCCAACAGTCAAGAAATGAGTTCCCAGTTTGGTCGCGACCGACACCGGATCCACCACAATAGAACCACCGAGATGAAGGACTGGCGAAACATCTGGAACAAGCTTACCCGTTATCTTTAATTTTCTTCCAGATCAGGGGCAGTGGAGTGTCAGACGTAACAGTGGAAACTTCTAGATCAGGGGCAGTGGAGTGTCAGACGTAACAGTGGAAACTTCCAGATCAGGGGCAGTGGAGTGTCAGACGTAACAGTGGAAACTTCCAGATCAGGGGCAGTGGAGTGTCAGACGTAACAGTGGAAACTTCTAGATCAGGGGCAGTGGAGTGTCAGACGTAACAGTGGAAACTTCTAGATCAGGGGCAGTGGAGTGTCAGACGTAACAGTGGAAACTTCTAGATCAGGGGCAGTGGAGTGTCAGACGTAACAGTGGAAACTTCCAGATCAGGGGCAGTGGAGTGTCAGACGTAACAGTGGAAACTTCCAGATCAGGGGCAGTGGAGTGTCAGACGTAACAGTGGAAACTTCCAGATCAGGGGCAGTGGAGTGTCAGACGTAACAGTGGAAACTTCTAGATCAGGGGCAGTGGAGTGTCAGACGTAACAGTGGAAACTTCTAGATCAGGGGCAGTGGAGTGTCAGACGTAACAGTGGAAACTTCTAGATCAGGGGCAGTGGAGTGTCAGACGTAACAGTGGAAACTTCCAGATCAGGGGCAGTGGAGTGTCAGACGTAACAGTGGAAACTTCCAGATCAGGGGCAGTGGAGTGTCAGACGTAACAGTGGAAACTTCTAGATCAGGGGCAGTGGAGTGTCAGACGTAACAGTGGAAACTTCTAGATCAGGGGCAGTGGAGTGTCAGACGTAACAGTGGAAACTTCTAGATCAGGGGCAGTGGAGTGTCAGACGTAACAGTGGAAACTTCCAGATCAGGGGCAGTGGAGTGTCAGACGTAACAGTGGAAACTTCTAGATCAGGGGCAGTGGAGTGTCAGGCGTAACAGTGGAAACTTCCAGATCAGGGGCAGTGGAGTGTCAGACGTAACAGTGGAAACTAAAAATCTCCAACCCTCACGGATGGGCCTACGGGCCACCGTGCTTGCCCTCCAAAACAAAAACGGGCGTTCTGCAGCGACGGTGTTTCTTCCTGGCTGCACGCTTACAGTGGACAGACCGAGCACAACCTGCGTTCCACCAGGGAACGCACTTCCGCGCGCCCCTGGAGCTAGAGCAAGGAACGGAGCGGAGCATAAAAAACAGTCATGAAAGAGGAGGGCTCTGGGGAGAGGCAGATCAGAGAAGTCGGAAAGAGTAGCACACAAGGTAAAGAGGTCCCAGCAAATTGCCACCTAGGGAAGGAGAGGAGGAGGAGGGCGAAAAGAGAAGAATGTGACAAGGATGGGGAAATGGTCACTTATGTAGGGCATCAAGAACCCACCAGGTGAAGTCCAAATACACTGTGTGCACACATTGTGCACCTGCAACCCGTCCTCGACTCAAGTCCATTACATTCAGCGGTCAACCCCACAGACGCATTCATAAATTTTTATATCCTGTTCATACAAAACAGAAATTTTCTCAAGTATAAATTAATATAATATATTAGCATATTGTGTATATATAGGCATAGGATAGGTTAGGTGTTTAGGTTCTGTTGGCTATTTGTATTTGTAGTACGTGGGTGAAGCATTTACAGCGTTGTGGTTCGAACAAAATTCGTCAGTGAAGCATATGTTCCGGATATGTTCGAATGTCAGCAGTTGTGAGTCGTGTGTAAACCGCTTTTCATTTATAAACAGGGGGTTTGGCGGGTGCATGGAATCACTTTTGGATCTTTGTTTGGAGGACGGGCTGGCACCTGAAAGGACCATGTCCAAATCTCCAGCACCTGCTGTAGCAGAGGCGAGGAGAGGGGACGTACTCCTGAACAGAGCATCTGGCACCAGCAAGAATGACTAAAGAGGGAAGGGACCAACCACCAAACGTGACCTTCACAACGCGAAGAGGCTAACGACGACGACGACCACGAGGGGGTCGAGTGAAAGTATCCACCTTGAGGACAATGGCCTTGGGCCTCAAGGATATTCGTAATATCCTCGTGGCAGTGTAAGTTACCCGTCACCAGTCGCAACATGGTGCGAGAGAATTGTGCCAATGCCGGCATTCAACTGGTCTTTTTTGAGATCCGAACAGGGGTGCCTTCAATGCAGGACACTGAAGCCAAGAGGGCAGCCGCTTCTTGAGAAGGGGCTGCAACAACAAAGGTACCAGTACGAGTGGGGTTAAAGGTGACCAACGTCACCTTTAACAACGTCACAAGGTGCTTATGGAGAAATAAATCACGACGAGTAGGGTCAACATAACCAAGATCAAAATACTTAGTCCACGTAGCAGGATCAAACAAAATCTGGCAAGATTATGAAGGAATCAAGCGCGAGCGAGTACGGAGGTGACGATGCCGTGCACCCCCAGTAAGAAAGGGGGCGCTGTTGTGACAACTAGATTGAGCCACGCCACGTGACGAGGTCACCACTGGGGGCTTGGGTCTCAACCCCGCCACAGAAGTGGGAGGGAAGCAGAGAAGTAGTCAGTAGAGTCCGAGAAGGAACATGGTCAGGGCCCAAGGTAGCGGGGGCTACAGGGCCAGGTCGTCCAACAGTAACTCGGGGGCTTTGTTGCCCACCCCACGAGTCTGGGAAGTGAAAAAGATGGCGAATCATTGGCATAATAACAGGAAAAATTTATTCACGAATAAGCCCCCCATACCCACAATGGAGCCACAATTAAGGGATAGGATACCCAACAATTGACAAGCCGGCCCCTCCCCCCTACCCCAGGAGTGCATCGTGGGTATACGCCCTGCAATCGCCACCTTAAGAACCGTCAGTCTAAGGATCTGGTTCAGTAACGAGGGCAAGGATTGACACACGCGTCCCCCTCGCTCGCAACGTCGGGTACCACTGTTCTACAGGCGAGTGCCTCCCCGAACACCCGGGCGGCAAAACAAAAGTCCGAAAGAATAATCATGAATGGCGAAGGTCTGCGGAAAAGGAGAAGGAAGGGGAGGAAAAATTAAACTTATGGAAGAGGAAAAAGCCATCTAGCACAATTAGTAAAGACTGCAGTAGGAGCATACTGCAGTCATAAGACAGGACTGTCCCATGGAGCATCACCCCCCGGCAGCCGCTCACCAAGCCCCTCACGACAACGGGCTGGAAAGGGAAGGAGGGTACACTGCTTCAAATGTGGGAACTAGAGCCCAATTGGCTCGGGAACCTGTACATAAAATGATCTAGAGGCGGGACCAAAGACCCGAAGCTCTATCCCCCGCAAGCACAAACTGGTACACAGATTGTACACAGATGGGGGGGGGGGGGGTTGTCCTATAGGGCCCGGCCAGTTCCCCCCCCCCCACCTGACGCACCTGTTCACCCAGCAGTAAATAGGTACTTTCGAAGTTAGCTGCTACGGGCCGCTTCCTGGGGATTTGTGCGCATAATATGCAATACGAAGAAATTAGGTTCGGAATCTGAAATTAAAGAACCGACGGTTAGAAAGACATGGTCCAAGAGCTCCATCCTGCAAGCACAACTAGTACCTTGAGGTTACCTTGAGGTGCTTCCGGGGCTTAGCGTCCCCGCGGCCCGGTCCTCGACCAGGCCTCCTGGTTGCTGGACTGATCAACCAGGCTGTTGGACGCGGCTGCTCGCAGCCTGACGTATGAGTCACAGCCTGGTTGATCAGGTATCCTTTGGAGGTGCTTATCCAGTTCTCTCTTGAACACTGAGGGGATTGCCAGTTATGCCCCTTATGTGTAGTGGAAGCGTGTTGAACAGTCTCGGGCCTCTGATGTTGATAGAGTTCTCTCTCAGAGTACCTGTTGCACCTCTGCTCTTCAACGGGGGTATTCTGCACATCCTGCCATGTCTTCTAGTCTCATGTGATGTTATTTCTGTGTTCAGGTCTGGGACCAGCCCCTCTAATATTTAGTATTTTGGAAGCGCGCCAGGTTGCAATTCGTTTGAGCACGCCGTGGTACAATTGACCAGGGCGCGTCTGGGAATATCCAGTGCGTAGATTCGAACCCTCAAGGCCCTTGTAGACGTGTTCATTTGATTTACACAAATCACAATAGCGTGGTACAAGTGGGCACATTCGGAAAACAAATTTGGTGCATTTGGGTCATTCTAGCTTCGACCACTAATAGCAATGGAACACTCATAATGTCTAACAACTTGTCAAATAAACAAACATTCTTTTAACCACTTTATTTCCAAGTGTGGAAAAGTCTTGATAATGTTCTGGCACTTATACATTTATGTCGAAGGTGCCCGACAGAGCAGCTCAAGGCACTTATAAAAAAAACTTTTGTTTCATATATTACATTTGTAAAACTAGCATCGAGTGTAATTTTACTAATTAAATACAATTTAGTTTAACGGCACAATTTTCAAAATTCTTAAAACTTCACATACATTATATTACTCTAGAGAAATAACTCAGATTTGCTGATTATTTTCACAAGTCGAGCCGACATACTTTACTATAGTATAATATCTACCAACATCCATCAGAGTAAACTAAATTAAGTCTTCTCAGTCATAACTAACAATGATAGAGAATTTATGTTTAAGTAAACAATTGTCTTGAAAACGTAGACCTGCTGGCTACATGCCGGCTGTCAATGCTACAGAGCCTATGATGTTTACAGTCTAATTCAATTCATATCAACACTATCCCGGGCAGCAATGTGTAGCACTTACAAAAGTATATCCTACAATGCTTTCTAAACCATGACAATCAGTGCAAGAAATACATTGTCTGGTCACAAGAAACTCTGGAGGCCATATGGAGGCCATATAGAGGCCACTTATGTGGCCTCTTTCCTCCTTGAGGGCCTAGAAGAGTGGCTCTAGTCCTATCAACTGCCCCTTGAATTATCAGTACACTTAGTTCCCCCCTAAACCCCCTTCACACTTCTAGAAGTCAATGACGGGTGGAGGGACAGGGAGGCTTATTACAAAAAATATTAAAATTTCATATCCCTATGGGTTCAGTTCACAATAAAATGACTAATAAAATACTAATAAAATGATTTGCTCGAGCTCAATTAAAATATAGTTTCATGTGTGATATGTCATTAGTGGAGAACCTGCAACAATGTTGGAAACTGAAGTTGATAAAACTGACTATGGTGTCTAGCTAGTTTTCCCCACAATTGCTTCTCGTCCGAGCTGACCATATTTTAATAGCAAATATTTTGCTTTCTCCAAACAATAAAAGAAAACCATGTTTTGACAGACATCACGTTCTCTGGTGCCACAGACTTTGCCAACTTCATCCTGTAAGTCCAGGTGACCATCTGAAGGCCTCACAGCAACAGTTCTCCCACAGACGGCCCACGTTACAGGCTGAAACATTCAATTGGGATTAATGATATTTAAAAAATATTTATGATGTAGTTTCTTATCGTTAAAAGGAGGAGGGGGGGGGGGGGCCAAGGCAACCCACTATTGTGTTTTGAAAAGGAGGGGGGGGGGGGTGTTACACAACATATCTAAGCCTAGAGAGCCCCTATCCACGAATTGACAATATATCCGGTCAAGTTTACTTTATCTGTGGACCTGGGGCAAGTGTGAAGTAAAAACATTGGTTAATGCAACACTAATACAAGCAAGTAAAAGAAAACAATTCAAAAGGCACCAAGCCGGGGAGACTCACCATCAGGGTGGCAGAAAATTTTAGAAGCGCTAAATCACCGAGGATGCCAATTCAAGAACAAGAGTACACGAGATATATCCAATTTATCTCATTCAAAAAATTCCATCGAGGGATAAATTAGAGGGGAAAAAAAATTCCTAAAAACTGCACATTCAACAAGGATGGGCACACTTAAATGTCTAAACTGCACTGTCACACTTATGGTGGATGACTGTAGAAGCGCTGCACTCTATACTCATGCCTTCAAGCACTTACGTTGAATAATTTGCTCGGCTACGTGGTCTAAGTGTGCATGTGTCACGATGAAAATACCCTCCCTGATTTACAGGAGTACCTTGTTGACCAAATACCAGTTACAATTAATTACGCCCCGAATGGCACTAGCCTTCTTCCTACTTAAATCAGTTATCGAATCTTGTCCCCGTGGAATTTCGCACTCTCCTATAACAAATTCCAGTTTGCTCCGTCCCTCTGCAGTTTTACAGCGGTGTGCTCTAACGGCATCAACTGTACTGCATCTTACTTGGTTCTCCTTTTCAATATTTAATGAATACCTAACCGTATTTGGGAGACGTCCCAGAGGACTGGCTCGAGGCAGCCATTCTCTGGCTCGAGGCAGCTGTAAAGACCTTTGTTCTTTTTGACCTGGAAAAGTCTTGGCACCATTGAGAACATTTTCTCTACATTCTTTGGCCTTCGTGGCACACTCCCACTTTTCAACTCTTGTAATTCGTTTAAAATGAGAGTTGGTGCCATTTTCTCTAACATTAATGTTTACCTCAAGGTAGTTTTTTGTGCACTGGCATTTCTCTGCTTTATGTTGATCTAATTTGTCGCGGTGACGACCCAGCTTTCCTCCGACACCAGTTCCAGCTTATGATTTGGCCGTGTCGCCCTTAACCACGATTCATGGCAGAGTTTTCTGCGACTAAGACTTGTGCTTAGACTCAGAAGCAGGTCGTTCTTCGACCCACATTGACGTTTTATAGCAATCTAATTCACCATAAGAATCAACTTTTGGGGTCGAATTTTAACACTAATTTGTCCGTCTCCCCATAAAGCTCAAAGATATAATCCTTTAAGGCCCTTGCCCTAGTCTTGACCCCCCCCCCTACCTCTGGGGTTGTCAAGTTATATGCACATTCCTATTTCAGCTGCCCCCTCGTGCAGTCTAAACTATTGTGGCTGCCCCTTCCACTGCCTTTCCTTGAACCCTTCGTCTTTATGCTCTAAACTATAGAGTTGTGCCTCGGCTCTGGTGGCTCTTTTCCCGCCCGGATATTTTATGTTTATTTTTTTGATTGCTGCCGCCGGAGGAGGCGGCTAGTTTATTGTGCACCCCATACCCATCTTACGAGCGGTAGCGCAAAAAGCATTGCAGAGGGTACAAAAGGTCTTTATCAGACCTCGTCTTAGATTATTACATAAACAGTTTCATCTATCCTTCACACCTTACAGCTTTTATATTGAAACCGGCTTCCTGGCTCTACAGGATCATTGTGATCGTTACTACCTTCAACTATTTTTCACTCCCTTTAACTTCCTCACTCTTGCTTATGCCCTGAGCGAGCTTCTAGCTCACCATTTTATGGTCTGGAAGGATGTTATGCTTGTACGACTTCCTGTCGGTTCATGTTTGCAATGTCATTTCTTCGTTCCATCCTTGTTCCCATGGGGGATTACACTTTTTAAAGATCTTTACCCTCGTTGTAAAGGCTTGCAACCCTCCTACTCTTATTACTTTGAGCGCGCCTACACTCCATTGCCATATTCACAGTGGGTCCAAGTCTGCTGACTGTAGGTCACTCAATTGGTACCCTGACCATTACCCAGCCAATCAACCCTCAATGACTACCCAGATTTCTACCTAGTCAACCCTCAATATGAAATTGTTGGCAGGGTTGTTCGTCTGTAGTTACAGGAAATTAACTACATTCTCTTTAAAAGGTAATCTGTCCATGTCTGCCTTCAACACCATAACAGACTTCAGAAACCGTTTAGGCTAGGTTATGTGATGACTATACATGTTTAACTCTGGCCGCGGTGCTCCTTAAGGAGGATAGGGGGCCAAAAGGGGCAGTTAAGAACAAGGGTAACTGAAGAAGGCCTATTGGCCCATACGAGGTAGCTCTTAGAACCACCCAATCCCACTCTTGTATCCACCCCTCACTTGAAACAATCAAGGGACCCCACCTCTACGTTACACGGTAATTGGTTCCACAAAACCGTTACCGAACCAATATTTATTCAGGTCTAAATCTGGAAACTTATCCAATTTATACCCATTGTTTGGTGTTCTGTTCTGTTGATACCGTTTTAGATTTGGCTACTCTAAACGAAATGTCCATGTAGCACGGGCTATGGTGAGCCCGTAAGAGTTAATACTTTTAATACCCTATTAATATCCTGTGTTATATCCATTCATTCACCTTTACACCTATCATGTCACCCCCTAACTTTGCCTTTCCAGCGAAAGTAATTTAACCTTTGTCAATCTTCCTTCATATGACGGGGTTCTAAATTGCGGGATTAACTAGCCTTTTACGCTGGACGCGTTCTGGTGAATTTATATCAGTTCTATAGTACGGCGACCAAAACTGAACTGCATAATCTAAATGGGGCCTAACCAGAGCAAGATACAGCTGAAGAACAAGCATCATAATGATCAATAAATCCCAGTGTCCTATTTGCCTTATTACGAACATTTATGCATCGATTTCCTAGTTTTAAAGTCTTAATCATAACTCCCAGATACCTTTTTCAATCCAACTTTTGCAATCTCTACACCATCTAGCTCTTATCTTTTATCTACATTATAAGCCTTAAAACCTTACATTTGTCAGCATTTAACGGCACCTGCCAATCTTTTGACTATTTCAAAACCCTATTTAGATAGTCTTTAAGGGATAGAGAGTTTTCCGTGTTTATTTCCCACCCGATTTTTGTCTCTTCGTTATAAGGAAGAATTTCACCACTCCAGGTGACTGACTATAGTTACCACTAGGGGCTTTAGACAATGCTGCCGAAGTAGTATGGCGGTAACATACTACTAGTATGTAGTATAACATACGTCATATTTGTTTGGGTAGTCAAATATGAAGCCTGGTCTACCCTGGAAACACAAACCGAAACTGTCTCTATTTTCCGCTTGTTACAACTTGTAATAAAGTTGTTACATCTTGGCTTAACGTGTTTATGACGTATTAGAACGGATTTACAACTTGGTATATTGGTTGTTATAACTGGTTAGGAAGTGTTAAAACTTGTTCGAACGTTGTACCAACGTCGTAGTTTCGGTGTTGTTTGGCGGGTAGGCCCAATGTAGACGGGGCTACAGAGTGGCCTCTGGTGCCTAGTCGCCCACCCCACGAGTCTTTGGGTAGTAGTTTCCTTTATCCTAAATTGTTTGGGTCCCGGAGTCAGTGTATATCGCTTAACAGGGCAACAAGAGTGGCTGAAATGCCGACTAGTACAGGGAGGGGTGCGTTATCCCAAGTAGTGACCCCCCCCACCCGTGTAACACTAGTCCTACAGCATCGCACAATCTTGTAAAGGTTGTGCATGTGTAGGTAGGACGGGAGAGACCTGGGATGGTCGGGTAACATTCCCATTAACAAGTTTAAATTAAAATGTATCTACCTACTTTCAGCATTCTTAAATAACTTAAATGTGCAATACTATAGTCTAACTACCAAAACCTTCCTACTCTGATCGGAGACGGTTGAGCAACAGTTCTAAAATCCCGTTAATGAACTAAGATGCGCAGATTAAAATCAACTTTTATAAATAATTCTAACTAACAATTTTAATGTAAAGACTACTCCCAGTTTAATAACCACCACTGGAATTGTACGAACAGAATCTTTACAGTGTCCTTATAATCAATTATGCCCGTGTCACAATACGGCTGTTAGGCTACTCGAACGATTGCGTTTCCGACCCAGGCTAAGTATCTAAAAACAGTAATCAGATCCGATCATGTTACGAGTGAAATACTGATGCCAGTCATGAACACTGGATTCTCAGGACACCAGTAAGCATACAAGGAATCAATGCGAGGGTCACCTCGTGTTTACATAGAATTGCATTTATCGCATTAACTAAACTTTACCGGCAGGATGTTTCCCAAGCCGCTACTGTTTGAGAAGCAGCCGTTATTCGTCAGGGACGCTGACCTTACCCGGTTTGAATAGTGTTCTTATTGATGACCTTACTTGCTACTACACTTCAAGGAGTCAAGTTACTAGCTATGAACGCTGTTTTAGCTACATAATTCAGATCGTAAAAGCAAACTTAATTTTAGAAGATTCGATTAGCAGTAGGAATATGGTAGAAAATTAGTACGGTAAAGTGATTGTGTGTGTGTCTGCAGTTCAAGTAACTTTAGGATCGAATTCGGCAGCAAATTAGCTTCGTTTCAACAAATTGACAAGTTGTAAAACTTAAATTTATTAATGACCACCCCCCCAAATGGGAATTTTGTGAAAGATTAGCATTTACCCATGTTATACACAACTATATAATATATATAAAGACCAATACATAGTCCAGTTGCATTTAGATTCAAGTGCATATTAAACTTGCACATAACCCAGCAGGAGAGGCCTTGGAAACGTGATCGACCCGGGCACAGCCGGTTATTTTTTTTAATAAATTGGCAATTATAAGAGTTTTATTCTTCCAATATTGACCAATTAGTTATAAGAGGCATTTGGTTGGCAGATTAAGATAACCCTCCCCCCCCCTTACTATACGATTATATTTGGGGTAAAGAAATTTATAGCCAAGAGGACCAAAGTTCATAACTCATAAGAACATAACAAAGGTAACTGCAGAAGGCCTATTGGCCCATACGAGGCAGCAGCTATCTATAACCACCCAATCCTATCTATAACCACTCTTGGTACGAAAGTTGTCCAAAATAAGAATCTTCAGCACATGGCGATATTTAATCCAGTTACAAACAGTTGGCACCAAGAACATACTTACAAGTCAAGCACTGATGGCAGGTACTGATGGCAGGTACTTGGCCGTCTTATACCAGCAATTTCCAATAGATTTATCTCGCACATCTGGTACATCACTATTGAAGCTTGGCAATTCATTACTCGGGCAAACGAAGATAACTGAAAATTTATAAGAATGATTTTACAAGTAATTCATAGAAAAAAAATGTCCATATAATAGAAAACCATCAAATTTTGACTATTATCCATATTAGGTCAAATCCTGGTAGAGCCCATATTTTTACTTTATATAGTAAGCAATCTGAAGTCGACAAATCGGCAAAATTAAAATAATTGTTTAAATAAATTTCCAACTACCTAATCTAGCATGCATTTACCAAATTTACAAAATATTCTAATTTTCAAGCAAGGGTCAATTAAGCCAATGATATGCCCTAGTAACTTATCCAGTTACAAATTGTGTTTAAGAAAATCTTCAAACTTATCCTTCAATAAATGAAATTTCACTGTACAGTGTCTTACCTTTCTTTTATTTCAGCCGTTTTAAGAACCTGCTTTAGCCACAGTAAGATGCCCGTTTATTCCAGCTACCTTAAAGTTCATTATGTTGGGCTGTGGCCGCGTCCCTCAATCATCTATACTAGCAGTCTGAATCTTCTTGGGGAGGAATTGGCAATGACATTGGAAGAGAATCATTGTGCGCCAAGGTGGAGAGATTCCCAAATCCTTTTGGGCAGAAATGGGCAGGGTAATCATTGGAGCAGAATTGTTGGTGTGCTTCTTTGAGAGAGACCGCGGAGAAGTAGTCATTTGTGTGTCGAGTACCCAATTCGCCAGTCGGGTGACTAGCACTACAAGAGGAAGTCACGGGATTAATATTTCGCGGTCCACAGGAACTCTCCCGAGAACGCCGTTTGCCTTTAGAGCCATGCGCTCGTCGTGGCGATTTATTGTGAACAAATGAATCCATGTTCATAGATGAATTGGGAGGTGTTGCAGGTCTGGATGGAGCTGGATCCTGAAGCAATTCCTTGGGTGCATAAATTGTATCAGTTTTGAGGGGAACCCGGTTCTTTTCTGATGCGGCAGTCTTCTGCCCTAGTTCTAGCCTGGTCAAGGACAGCGCGATCGTAATCCGCCAGTATTCGAGATGGAGAGTTATCGTTTGTGTTCTCGTGTATAGGGAGACCCGAGACTAGTAATTCTGAAAAATCTTGCGAGTCTCGTCAGAACTGTAACCACCATGTCCTTTATCCTGAGGCTACTCTCACCGCTTTGAACTTTAGGAACCATAGACTCCCTTTTTTCAATCATGCCTGTGGCTTTTCTTTCGAGACGTGGCTGGCATAGCTGAAGGCGTTTCTTCGTGCCTGTGTAATGCAGCCGTGTTATCCGTCTTTGCACGTCGGTCACGCTTTGCAATTTTTGCACCTGCCCGGAGGCACCGCGCCCAGCACCGGCCTCGAAGGCGCCGCCCCCAGAGGTTCCAGCGCCGCCCCCGGAGGCGACAGCATCGCCCCCGGAGGTCCCTGTGGCCTCCAGAAGTCCCAGCACCGCGCCCAGCATCGCCCCAAAAGGCGAAAGCCCCAGCACCGGACGTCCCAGCACCAGACGTCCCAGCACCAGACGTCCCAGCACCAGACGTCCCAGCACCAGACGTCCCAGCACCAGACGCCCCAGCACCAGACGCCCCAGCACCAGACGCCCCAGCACCAGACGCCCCAGCACCAGACGCCCCAGCACCAGACGCCCCAGCACCAGACGCCCCAGCACCAGACGCCCCAGCACCAGACGCCCCAGCACCAGACGCCCCAGCATCTAACATGCTTGTGGTGTTCTGGCCAGGAACCACACTATCACGCACTACAACTTCTCCGCACGTTTCCTTGTCAGCATCGTGCCAGTCGTCAGGGTCGAGGCTTGAAACCGACTCCAGCCAATACCTAGACGCGTCGTTCTGAGAAGACATCGATTCTGCATCCTGCCAAACCTGGTCGCCGTTTTTCCAAGTTTTGTCAACTGCTAGTTCACTAGGGCACTCGGATCGTGTCTCCAGGCCACTTTCCATATCTTGGGGGTCACAATCATTGTGATATAGCAAACAACTTTCATAAGCATAAGAGCTTGATACACGCACACTATATTCTGAGCAATTATCTACAAGACCCTTTAAATTTGAGTAATCCTTTTTCTTGTAGTGTCCGCACTCAACTTCATCAATTTGCGTTCCTACGCAATTCTCCGAAATATTCCCGTCTTTCAGGCCCGTCTGTCCATGGCAATTAAAACCTATAATAAAATTATTTTGAGAGTCTTTAGCAGTTTGGAGCAGCTGTCCTAGTACTGACAATCCTAGAGACCGATGTGTTTCAGACTCTTGGAACTCCAATAACGCTCTTTTCTTCATAAAATTTTGAACTTTATTTTGTAGGTCGCCAACAACAGTCATTGAGGATTCTGTAAAAATTAAAAATTAAGTTATATTTATTTTGCGCAATACGTCATCTTAGCGTCAAATACTCTTAACGGGATTGTTACCGTATCTTAGCAACTATGGCAGGATGGTTTAAACTGCTTCCTCCCCCAACTTCCCTTAATCTATACATTAAATCTCACCGACACGTTATTTTACCTCTAGAAACTTATTTCAATTTCACCGACACGTTCCACTTTATTTAACACCAAAATTCTCATGGTTAATAAACTTTACCCATTCTTTGATTCAATATTCCAGTGTAAAAAGTTTCCGCAATTCACTCGCCCAATAATAACCTTGAAGTACCATACTTACCTACCATTTTAGGTAATTAAGTAAACTAGACAAATCTAGTATCTAATACATTGTTTCATTTATCTGGGTACCCGTTCTCAAAGTTCATTCTATGCAGCGGCCGAGCGCAAAAACGAATATCAATTTTAACATTCGTGTGAAACAGGAATTCTCAAATTTTATATTATTAACGTTACGCATATTCAGGCGTAGGTTTGATTAGGCGTTCAGGTTCTGTTACTAGTTCTTATTTGTGGTATGTGAAGCATATATAGAGTTGCTATCCGAACATTACAGCAAATCACTTTGAGGAATGTCCAAACGTTATGACTTGTTTGTAAAACACATACATAAAAAGGGGGTTTGGCGACTGGGTGAATGAACATTTTGCTCTCAACGAGCAAGCTCAGACTAACCGAGTTACTCAATATGTGGCCATGACTATTTACCACAACTTTATGTTGTTGGCAAGACATGTCCCCCCCACGAGGAAAAACATCACTTGACAAGTACAACTGTAGCCAGCATATGTTGGCTGATTAGTTAACTGAAGTGTACTGTACCCAGCACATCAAATATCTTACATAAATATCAGCAACAACTCACCGTTATGAAGGACTAAAATACACATTTTAAAAAAGGAGTCCAACGGTTGCTGGAGATTAAAACCCCCGAGGGACAGAGAGCTCCAACAAGTGTCTCCACTGTACTCTCGGGAAGAAGTGTACAGACCAACGCTGACCACCAGCGAGGACAACAATTAAAATAAGCGGTAAAGAAACTGTGTGATGATCTGCGTCACGTGGCCACTTTCTGTTTTTGCCGTCAATCGATAGATGGCGCTATCGACGGAACTGTCATGATAGTCAAATCAAATCAGAAGCTTTATTCCCTAAATGATTGCACATTTATAATTAGGAAAGTTTATATAATATTTCAGTACGTTAATTACATGCCATAATAACACGATAGCAAGTAGACATTGTCGTTATCAGAGGCTTAAACTATATTACAGATGGCGGCACACCAGAGATTTGTACAACTGAATGACCACTTTCTTTTCCTTGAAGTTCCGTCCCCCCCCCCCGTCCCATCCCAAATCCTTACCCTGACCCCTTCCCAGTGCTATATAGTCGTAATAGCTTGGCGCTTTCCCCTGATAGTTACCTTCCCTTCCTTGAAGTCAAAGGTTTCTTTTACTATTCCCAGGATTTGGTTGACTTTTTTTTTTGGGAAGTTCCTACCTGTTGTGCAACTTTTAATGACTGATGGAGTCTGACTCCATGGTCCTTTTCTTCTTTGATCTGCTGCAAGGTAATGTTGTTGATATAATAGTTGTGATGTGCGTTGTTATGTCCTACATGCAAGGTCTGGCACTTATTAATATTAAAAGTATTTGCCAGTCATCCGACCACGTGTGGAGTTTACACCTACACCCCCACACCCCAGCACTCACTACACCCTCTCCCCGCCCCAAACACACCAGTCTCAACCACCTCAATCATGCCCAAACACACACACAGGACACTGGAAGACAAACGAGTTAGGGGAGACATGATCACTACCTGTACAATTCTGAGAGGAATTGACACGGTAGATAAAGACAAATTAATTATCACGGGTGGAACGCAAACATTTGGACACAGGACACACTTTACATTAAGAAATGTAAAGTACCAGTAGCGCGAGCGCTCAGCATAATATGGAGAAAGAGCCTGGATACAGGGGAGATACCAGCAGCACTTAAATCAGCAGATATAGCTCCTCTGCACAAGGGGGGGGGGGGGGTAAAGCTTTGGCAAAAAATTATAGATCAGTTGCACTAACATCACACATAATAAAGATTTTGAAAGAGTGATTAGGAATCAAATCTCTAGTTTTATGGAGAATAATGAACTACACAATCCAGGACAACATGGATTTAGAACGGGAAGATCTTGTCTATCACAGGTACTCAACCACTATGACAAAATCACAGAAGTTCTAGAAGAAAAGCAAAATGCAAATGTAGTATACATAGACTTTGCAAAGGCATTCGACAAATGTAACCATGGAGTGACAGCACACAAAGTGAGGTCAATGGGAATAAATGGTAAAGTAGGACGCTGGATACACAATTTCCTGTCGAACAGAACACAGAGTAACAGTCAATCAAATAAAATCGAGACCAAGCTCAATTAAAAGCTCTGTACCTCAAGGTACAGTTCTTTCACCACTGCTTTTTTGGCGCCCTGCCACCACTAAGCTACATACGTTAATACACAGATTTACGTATGCCCGAACACTTTATGTAGGGCATACGTAAATCTGTGTATTTATGTATATACGTATGTAGCTTAGCCTAGCATTTTAAAAGCACTACAATCACCTTCTGTCGTTGATTATTCAATAAATCTCCGAACTGTTTGTTTGACTAATCTCTAACCCTGTCCAACCGGTCGTATGTTCCTGACTAATCTCACCCTATGCCCCTGTTACCCTGTCCATGGAGGGCTGCTTCCTGGGGGTGGAGGCCTGGTCGAGACCGGGCCGCGGGGACACTAAAAGCCCCGAAAATGTCATATAGGACAGAAGAAAATGTATATATGTTGGTTAGCATTGTTAATGTGTGGCCACGTCTGTGGTAGAAAATAATAATAAAAAAAAAACACTGCTTTTCCTTATTCTCATATCAGATATAGACAAAAATACAAGTCACAGCTTCGTGTCATCCTTTGCAGATGACACAAAACTCAGCATGAAAATTACCTCTTCGGAAGACATTGAAAAACTACAAGCAGATATCAACAAAGTTTTCGATTCGGCAGCAGAAAATAACATGATGTTTAACAGTGATAAATTCCAGGTACGGCAAAAATGAGGATCTGAAACATAATACAGGGTACAAAACACAATCGAATCTGCCCATAGTAGGAAAACAGCATGTCAAGGATTTGAGAATAATGATGTCCGACGACCTAACGTTTAGGAAACATAACCAAGCAACTATTGTGGCAGCCAGAAAAATGATAGGATGGATTACGAGAACTTTCAAGTCCAGAAGTCCAGGGATCCCATCACAATGGTTGTACTCTTCAAGTCACTTGTGCTGTCCCATCTTGAGTATTGCTCAGTACTCACTTCCCCTTTCAGAACAGGAGAGATTGCTGAAATAGAGGAAATACAGAGAACATATACGGCACGCGATAAAGCACCTAAATTATTGGGATCGTCTCAAAGCTCTCCAAATGTACTCACTAGAATGGAGACGAGAGAGATACCAAATAATATACACATGGAAAATACTGGAGGGCCAGATCCTAAATCTAGACAGTAAAATAACAACATACTGGAGTGAACGATATGGAAGAAAACGCAAAATAGACCAGTGAAGAGCAGAGGTGCCATAGGCACAATCAGAGAACACTGTATAAACATCAGAGGTCCGCGGTTATTCAACGTCCTCCCAGCGACTATAAGAAATATTGCCGGAACAACCGTGGACATCTTCAAGAGAAAACTAGACTGTTTTCTAAAAAGCGTGCCGGACCAACCGGGCTGTGGTGGGTATGTGGGCCTGCGGGCCGCTCCAAGCAACAGCCTGGTGGACCAAACTCTCACAAGTCAAGCCTGGCCTCAGGCCGGGCTTGAGGAGTAGAAGAACTCCCAAAAGCCCATCAAGCAGGTATATGTGGGCCTGCGGGCCGCTCCAAGCAACAGCCTGGTGGACCAAGCTCTAACAAGTCAAGCCTGGCCTCAGGCTGGGCTTGAGGAGTAGGAGAACTCCCAAAACCCCATCAAGCAGGTATCAAGCAGGTGGAAACTGAGTACCCAAATGAGCCACAGGGACGTTAGAACGAACGTTTTCAGGCGTCGGAGTAGTTAACAGATGGAATGCATTAGGCAGTGATGTGGTGGAGGCTGACTCAATACACAGTTTCAAATGTAGATATGATAGAGCCCAGTAGGCTCAGGAATCGATACACAAATTGACTGACAATTGAGAGGCGAGATCAATGAGCCGAAGCTCAAGACCCCAAACAAACCTGGTAGTCCCCTCCCCCCTCCCCCAACACACACACACAATCAGTAACCTAAGATGATATTCTCATATCCTTTAACAACGACTCCAACACACACTCTGTATATTTATGTATGCATGCACTCACTCGCGAACACTCACACATGCAATCGATCACTCTTACACACACGCACTCACTGCTTAAATTTCTAACCAATTAGAGTAGAAGATGGAAGGAGATGGTGGGGGGGTGGGTGGGGGGGGGGGGGGGGGAACACCAACACATAGAGGGACGGAAGGGACTGGGAGACTTGGGGGATCGAATCTATGCAACAAAAAGTGCGGGATCTCTCCTACCCAGAACATGTCTCTGTAATGCCAGGTCAGGCAGGTGAGAAGCCATACCCCATGGGCAGTGTGCCCCGGTATAGTTCACCAGCTCTCGAGTACACAAATATGCCACAATTGAGGGCTACAGGTAAGAACACTGGTCGATCACGGGTGGCTATTACAGGTGAACATTCTCATCACTGGTGTCAAGGTCTACAGGGGCCAGCGGCTGGTCTCTCGTCCATGAAGCATTGGATGTAGTGGGATACAGTGTGTGCTGGTGTTGGATGAGAGGTGTAGTGGGGCATATACTGGTGCTTGGACGCCTGGGTGTAAAGTGACACTACATGTGTAGTGGTGCTTGGACGCCTGGGTGTAAAGTGACACTACATGTGTAGTGGTGCTTGGACGCCTGGGTGTAAAGTGACACAACATGTGTAGTGGTGCACGCCTGTGTAGTGGTGCTTGGACGCCTGGGTGTAAAGTGACACATGTGTAGTGGTGCATGTGTAGTGGTGCTTGGACGCCTGGGTGTAAAGTGACACAACATGTGTAGTGGTGCTTGGACGCCTGGGTGTAAAGTGACATGTGTAGTGGTGCTTGGACGCCTGGGTGTAAAGTGACACAACATGTGTAGTGGTGCTTGGACGCCTGGGTGTAAAGTGACACAGTATAAGAACTCTTGTGTAAATAAATGAATAAGTAAAACTATGGTACAAGAACCATTGATCAATGTTTGTTTTCAGATATGTGGCAGAAGGCGAGTAATACATGTATATAGTGTAATATTAGTAAGTTTAGGATTAAATAAGATTGTTTGGAATTGATTAACATGTGCTATATTCATTCCGTAACTGTTGAATTAATAAGAAGGGAGTTAATGGGAGTTGAGTAAATGTACAGATATAAAGCTGTTTGGCACGCTATCACACCTGGCTTGGAGAACGACACTCCACGTTATAGCTTTGTGTATCCCGTCACATGTATATTACCTTCTCGGCACACTTATTAAGCGGTCCTTCGGTACCAGGTCACGGAGCTGAATGGTAGAGAGCCAGGAGGCTTACAGAGACAAGCCGCCCGTAGAGAGCCAGGAGGCTTACAGAGACAAGCCGCCCGTAGAGAGCCAGGAGGCTTACAGAGACAAGCCGCCCGTAGAGAGCCAGGAGGCTTACAGAGACAAGCCGCCCGTAGAGAGCCAGGAGGCTTACAGAGACAAGCCGCCCGTAGAGAGCCAGGAGGCTTACAGAGACAAGCCGCCCGTAGAGAACCAGGAGTCCTACAGAGACAAGCCGCCCGTAGAGAGCCAGGTGGCTTACAGAGACAAGCCGCCCGTAGAGAGCCAGGAGTCCTACAGAGACAAGCCGCCCGTAGAGAGCCAGGTGGCTTACAGAGACAAGCCGCTTGTAGAGAGCCAGGAGGCTTACAGAGACAAGCCGCCTGTAGAGAGCCAGGTGGCTTACAGAGACAAGCGACCCGTAGAGAGCCAGGTGGCTTACAGAGACAAGCCGCCTGTAGAGAGCCAGGTGGCTTACAGAGACAAGCCGCCTGCAGAGAGCCAGGAGGCTTACAGAGACAAGCCGCTTGTAGAGAGCCAGGAGGCTTACAGAGACAAGCCGCCTGTAGAGAGCCAGGTGGCTTACAGAGACAAGCCGCCCGTAGAGAGCCAGGAGGCTTACAGAGACAAGCCGCCCGTAGAGAGCCAGGAGGCTTACAGAGACAAGCCGCCCGTAGAGAGCCAGGTGGCTTACAGAGACAAGCCGCTTGTAGAGTGAAAAGGGCGGGAAATGTGACTGTATAGGCGAGAATCGCCCCTAGATATCAAAGCAGAAATTATTACCTGTAGCAAATGCCATTGTAGACTAGTTTGTGATATTGTAACCTATAAATGTTTGGGTGAAATTATTCAAAAAGTTTAGTAGCTTTTGTTCTTTATTAGTCATGGGTACAGCAGTCAGATATTGTAATTGTAATGACGTGTTATGATTGCCGAGACGAGGGCTGGAGCAGAGGGCAGAGCGAGACCGGGGGTAGGGTGTGTAGAGCTCCAATGCGGGACGAGAGCGAGTCTTCTCAGAAGCCAGGCTGTAGTGTCTTGCGAGAGTAGTGGACTAGACTCCAGTGTTGAATTATTGCTGGTGAATGCGATGGTGTTGAACATACGAAGTACATACAGAGCGTTAGTCACTGAACGGCTACTGGAGTTACTGTCGACGCTCCGTTGTTGACGGTTTGTATTCCACTCTTCTCCTGACTTGGTAAGTTAAGCGTCTTGATGATTACCTCTCGGCTCTCCAGATTGATTCTTGTACCTTTGTTAAGTATTATAATTAGTGCACATACGTTTAGTGTATTACTTTATGTTGAATTCTTAGGGTTAAGTTGTGTAGAATTCACAGGCACATCTAATTGCCTGCAGCAAAAATTCCGACAACTTTGGAGCAACTATATAACTTTATAGTTACTACAACTTAAATGGGAGAAGAGCAAGGAGGCGAGAGGGTTGTCATGTATTAATATATTATGTGGTAGGGGGACTGGGAAATTTTACAGATGCATTGATGGTGTGTAGAGGTTATGTGCAGTGATATGAAATCGTGAGGAAGACGAGAACATCTGAATGGTCTCGAGTATGCCTGTGAAGCCGTATGGATTCTGTGCAAGTGGTCTGGGTTGTGTGGATGTAGAGGTGTTGATTGTCCTTGAGAGAGCTGTAACAGCCGTGGCCACAGGGAAGGATTGCTTGGAGCCAGTATGTATGTACAGTGTTCCAGGGTAGGTGATCAGAACGAGACAAACAGGAATGCAGCACAGGCCTTGGCGACGGAGGCCCAGAACATGACGGACCAGACCAATAACGGGACAGTTGGCAACATTCACCAGACTTTACTGCCTGGATTTTGTCGAGGTCATAGACGACCTCTGAGCCTACCAACAAATCACGAAAGATGACTGACGCACAAGACATGGGTGAAGCCAGAAGTGATATGGGGGGGGGGTGCATGCGTCACGAGTAATTGTGTATTCAGTATCATATTTTAGGTTGGTAATCTTTAAAATTGCGAGTTAAATGCTGTCAATTACTAGATCTTTGCTAGATATACTGTAAGGTATAAGCAGGTGCACCCTCCAGGTCCCAGTGCTTGTGTCTAGCGTGCAAGTGAGCATATGTGGTCATATGAGCTAGGGAGGCGAGTGGTGGTGTGACCCAAATACATATCAATAATTTAGCTAGACTCTCGAAGTGCGAGGCCAGCAGAAGCAGTTATGCGAGCTTGTATGAATGATCTGCCTATGGAGGCTGGTATGGTAGACAGTCTAGACAATAGGATGCCAATATATATCTAATCCTTTAAAAGCTTCAGCATATTTTAAGAAGCTAGCAGTAACCTCAACGACCTGGTACAGCCGGTAACAGTCTGAAGAAGTCATGAAAAGTAAGTAAGTAATTATCAAAAGAAGGCACCAAACCGGGAAGGCTATGTAAGGAGTCATGACAAGCTAAGGCAACAGTGAGGAGTTAAGCTGGGCCAGAAGGGATATGACAGATGTTGGGCCGAGATGGAATACTCGTTCAACCATGATGGGAGGATCAGGTCTGGTGGCTGTCCTGAGCAGTCGACGAGCAAGCTATGGACCCATCTCGTCGGTCCCTCGTGTTTCCGGCTGGTGAACTTAAATGGTACCAGGACCGACTTGCAAGCGAGCCGGGTATCGCTAGGTACCAGACGGCGAGAAACTGCACCGTTAGACGGGCGAGTGACGGGTTCATGGTTGTTTATATGTAATCTGCCACCCTTACTGCCCACAGCCCCGCTCCTGTGCCAGGCAAGTCCACTACGGGCTCACCATAGCCCGTGCTGCTTGGAACTTGTTCCGAGTAGCTGAATCTATAACAACCCAACAACAACCTTACTGCCACCGTGCGTCACGAGGCTACAGTAATAGCAATGAAAATTAGGAAGGAATGGTTATTTGCCATCATCGACCCGCTGTATGTTATGAATTTATAACGTAATCTTGTTCCATAGGAGAACAAAGGTGGGTATATTCGGAACAACAAATTTGGTGCATTTGGGTTGTTGGGTCACGCTCCTAACTTCGACCACCAGTCATAATGGAACATTCATAATATCTAACAACGTGTCAAATAAACAAACATTCTTTAATTACTTTATTTCGAAGTGCGGGAACGTCTATATAATGTTCTGGCACTTTCCTTATACATTTGTGTGGAAGGTGACCAGTAGAGCAGCTCAAGGCGCTCATATGAAACAAACTGTTTAAAATGTAATAATGTAAAACATTAAAAACCAGCAAACAGGATCAAATAATTTACGCTACCAGAGAAGTAAACTTAAAAAATCTTGTTCCGTTTATAATGGCACAACTTCCATATTCTTCAACTAAACATTTCACATTAGTCTACCAAGTACATTTTTAACATGAACACTTCCTACAGATTTACAGTCAATGTTCACTTACACAAGTCCAGCCGACATATTGGAATATTCACACGTACAATATCTACCAGCATCAACCACAAGACTAGAAGTCTTCCCAGTCTTGCTTGGAACAAATATTAATTTCACGTGTCACTTAAATCTAGACAAAATTTCAGTGAAACACTTTTACAGACCTGCTGGCTACATGCCGGCTGTCATTGATACAGACAGCCCATGATGTTTACATTCTAATTCAAGTCATATCTACACTATCACTGCCAGCAATGTGAAGCAAATACAAAGGTGTATCTTACAATGCTTTCTAAACCATGACATTAACATGACAATCTGCCTAAGAAATAAATTGTCTTATCACAAGGAACCCTGGAGGTCATAGAGGCCAATGATTTTTCCTGCTCTAAGGTGTTGATCAGACAACTAGTTCCTTAATGTGAAGTGAGTGTTTGTGCATCACGTTGTACCATGTGGCAGGAAGCGTCCACTAGTCAATAGTACTCTAAAAAGTGTGGTTAGATCCAAATAATTTAGTTCAAGGTAATTGATAACTTAAAACATTAATTAAAAATGCTTAATAGCAAGATAAAAATTTGAGCTGATACTACTATGTCAATTAATCCAAGTCGTGGGAATGGATTTTTTCAATGATAGCCTTGCTGTATTTAAAATATGAATGTCGCAAATACAGAACTCTGTAATGCCAACTTAACCAGCCAATTTGTACAGTCGAGACGCTCTATGCCTCTTGTTCATGGATTTGGCCAAAATGTCCGACCCCACGAATGTCAGGTTAATTAACACGAAAGTTCCAAGTCTAAATAAAATTAAAACAGACCTGTGGGAGCGAGCCACGAGTTAAAGTATTAACCTCGCCTCACCAACCCCCCCTCCCCCCCCCCCCCCCCTCAGGCAAGAAAAGGCATCGAATTCTATCTAAACTGCCTCCTTGAATTATCGAGGTACTTCCAATACGGTACTTTCCACCGCGCCAACACTTCTTAAAAAGGTCAATGAGGGCGAGGTTAAATAAAAAAAAATAAAATAAAATCTGAATCCCACTTTGGGTTCACTTCACAATAAAATACCAGTAAAATGTTCTGCGCGAGCTCAATTAAAATATAGTTTTCTAATTGTAATTTTCTTATTGGAGATCTTGCAGTAAAGTTTGAAACAAAGTTTTGATAACACTGACCATGGTGTCCAGCTCTTATAAAATATTTCTCCTGAGCCAACCATGTCTTAATACCAAGTTTCCTTCTCCTCCAAACCATCAATCAAAGAAAATCTGTCTTGAGAGGGATCACGTTCTCCGGTGCCACAGACTTGGCAAACCTCGTCCATCTGAGGTCTCGCAGCCTCAGGTTCCCCACAAACAGCCAACGTAACATCCTGAAACATTCAAGTAGTAATTAATGACACTTAAATGTTTGTTTATAGTCATTTAAATATTAAGGTTTAGTTACTTTTTGTTAAAAGGTCGAGGCCAAGGCGGCGTCCACTGTTGAGGTAGAGAAAGGGGGGGGGGGGGGTGTACACTTATCACTTGTTAAAAGATAACATTAACTACTACACATCAGGATATCTGGTCAAGTTCACTTCTGTTTACCGATCTGGGGAAAATTTGAAGTAGAAAAAAGTAAGTCATTATCAAAGGAAGGCACCAAGCCGGGAAGGCTATGTAGCACCATCAAATGTGCGGGATAATCATATGGCGCTAAATATCACCAAGGATGCCAATATGAGAAACTCGCAAAGCGAACGATATCAAAAGTGTCCGATTCATCAAGAATTCTGTCGAGGGACAGGTGCCCGTGAAGACAGTCGGGAAGCAAGAGACGGGTTCGTCCTAGAAGTCAGGACATTCCACAAGGATATGCACGACCACAAGAAGGACAATGCAGTTTAGACAATAAGGAGCAGGGCAGCTATCCATTAAGTGCCCGTGAGATAAGCGTGTATGCTTAATCTCAATGTGCAATCTCCCCAGAGCCGTTTCCCACCACTGGTTACAGTGGTAGGAGGAAGGCCACGGGGGAACACGACTTAAGATGGAGGAATGAATAACTGGGTAAAAGTCTGAATATGGATTACCTTTATGGGAAATAGGACATGTGCTGACAGCGTCTTGAGCGTGCTGACGCTGCCGCTAATTTAAGGACACCAAAATGGCTGAGAACCCAGCAAAACTTCCTCTTAAATCTACTGGAGATGAGAATTATCCAATGTTGAATCTACTACCACCCGATGGACTGGATTAAAGAACTCCAGAGCCATGAGGGCACTGCTAGAGTCAACTACACTAACAAAGGAGGATTGACAGCGAGAGAGCAGTTGAAGAGCATAAAAATAGCATAAAGTTATACCATGAAGATCGTAGTCTCCTCAGGCAGAAGACACAAAGGTGTGGTCAGGAAAAACAACAGTAGCCTACACCATCTGCAGACTTACACCCATCAGAGAAGGTGGAAATAGAGCGGGAGTGTGAAGATCAGTGATTAAGGAAAAGGCGTTTCAGAACTGTAGGAGAGTTAAAAGATTTAGTCACGTGGGTCAGGGTTTTACAAAATTTAGGAAGGGGGCCAAGGACGGAAAACCACTAGGAGAAATATTAATAATACTAACAACGAGAATTTTGAGGGAGAGAACCGAACAGAATGAGGGGTTGCGGTGATGAGGAGCAGGGACCAGAGGAGGGTCAAAAGTCAAAGCACGACATAGGAGTGAGTGAGGGTGTTATAAGGACCACACAAAGTACAGAATACAATAGCGATCACGGTAGACCTTGAGTGAGAGGACACCGGTTTTAACACACAGGCTGAGGGTAGGAGTCGAACAAAAGGCACCAGAGCCGAGGGGTGACTAGTACGGCGCAGAGCATCAAGACGGCGAAGAGGAGAAGAAGCAGACGAGTAAGCAGGGCAACCTTAATTGAGTTTAGACAGTACTAGAGAGGAATGTAAAGAGGAGTTTTTATTTATCCGTTCCCCAAGAATTATGGGACAAGACCTTAAACAGGCTCAGGGCCTTAGAGCATTGAACCGAGTTAAGAGATAGGGGGTGATTAAGACAAACGAGTGTCAAAGATTAATTGCAAAAGCCTAGCGGAATCTTTGTACAAAAGGGGATGCTTCCGAAAGTCCCATTGCACAAGTTTTAGTTGTAGAGAACCAAACCATGATTGGTGGCCCAACAGAACACTGCATCAATCACAAGTTGAAGCGGCCGCTGAAGGAAAGGCATATCACCTCAATCTTGCTGAGGGCAAGATCGTCAACATAGAGCGAAGAAGATGCCAGAACCGCAGGGGGCCAGGGCAGACTGGAGTTCTGAGAGCGAGAGAGAGAGAACATCATGATTGATCAAGAAGTGTGTTATGAGCCCCAGCAAAAGCTGGAGGAGAAGAGAAAGTAATAACCATAGAAGTGACCAAGACGAGCGGCAAGCATCAACTCCTAGAGACACAAAGTAGTGAAAACTGAGCAGTCAGAAGTTGTAGTTCATGAAAGTTGGCATAAAAACCATGAATGTTCAATTGAACACACAAAAGAAACAATGGATAAAAAGGCTAAAGAAGAACACAATAGACAAAGTAAACTCATGACCTTTATCAGTGAAATCGGGGTGACAGGGCATAGGCAAAGCTAGCAAAGATATTGAGGCAGGGGAGCGGGAGAACGGACCAGAGGTACCGACAGTCAGGATTGAAAGAATGTATCGGAGAGGGAGCGGCCAAGGGAATTGTGGGCATGAAGGGCAAACAGGTGATGACACCGGAATAATGGCAACATACAAGAGATGGTCAAGAACCAATGGAACCTCCATAGGAGGGACAGGTGACTGCCACTGAAATGGGAGGGGAAGCAGGGATATTGTCAGTGTCGGAAGGCAAGGAATATAGTGAAGCTTTCTTACCAACCGGGAAAGAGGCAGAGGAGCCAGGTTTACGTTTCTGATGGAGAGACAAGCGTTCCATCAGGAATGTACCGGGCGTCCGCCTCGACAGTTTCAACAGAAGGATAACGGGAACGGCCAACATGAACGCTGGGAGAATAAATAATGACCCGAACAGACAGGTGGTGTGGAGGGTCAAGAGACAGGGGAGGGCCGAGGAGGATTAGGGCGAGAAGGGAAAAAATGTACAGGAGACAAGGAAGACCGAGAAGGAAACACCAGAAGAATAAATAGGAGGAAGACACTGGGCCAGAATGCAAAGGAGCAGGTGAGGTGATGGTGGTGTCGGGGTCCAAGCCCTAGAAATGGTTGCGAAACTGAGAAAATGGGAAAAGGCGAGAAGGAAAACGGAACATACGAGCACAAGACATGCCAGGGAAGAAGGGAAGAGGGTAAACCTGACATCTTGCCTCAGGAAAAGACGATCATGATTCAAATTGAGGATGGCTTCCTCAAATTTGTAGTGCACACATTCGCGGGAGAAGGCAGGGTGGGCGTCACCGCAATTGATGCAGTGAGCTTGGGAAGAAAAACACTCAGGTCTTCGAATGACCTGAGGTTCTACACAGGTGAAGAGACACACACACTTGTGGGCATGGTCCCTTCAGATACACATCTCCAGCACCTGCTGCAGAGGCGATGTGAGAGGATGTATTCCTGAACGGAGCATCTGGCACCAGAAAGAATGAAGATGGAAGGGTCCGGCTATCAAATTTGACAACAAAGAGGCTGAACGACGACCACCAGGGAGGGGGGGGGGGGGTAAGAGTGAACTTGTCTAAAGGATAAAGGCCCTTGGCCTCAAGGATATATTTAATATCCTCGTAGCAGTCTTTCAGTTTCCTGTCACAACATAGTGCAGGAGAACCCTGACATTGCTGGCATTTAACCGGACAATTTTGGATACACGAACAGAGGTCTCCCTCAATGCAGGACAAAGAAGCCAACCAGTCAGCCGTTTTCCGAGAAGGGGGCTGCTACAACACGGGAACCAGTACGGGTGGGGTTAAAGGTCACCAACGTATCCACTGAATCAATAAAGTTTATGGAAGAATAAATCTTGAGGACAAGTAGGGTCACCATGACAAAGATCAAAATACTTTGTCCACGTAGCAAGACAAAACAAAGCCTGGAACATTTTTAGATTGAGAAGAAACCATGCGAGTGCGGAGGTGACGGCACCGAGCACCCCTTATAAGATGGGGTAAAAGGCGCAGTTGTGGACAACGATAGACTGACCTACGCCAGGCGATTGTCACCACTGGGGGCTTGGGCCTCAACCTTGCCACAGAGGTAGGAGGGGAGTAGGGAGAAGTAACATTGTCTGGGCCCAATGCTGCAGGGGCTACAGAGCCCGGCCTTCCAGCACAGTCTGCCTCAGGGAGGGGGGGGTGGCCTGGTAGCCTACTCCACAAGTTAAAGGAGGGCCAGAAACGGCATGCAAATGTACATTTAAATAACCATATTCAACAAATAAGCCCTCCCATACCCATCAGAGTCACAATTAGAGGATAGGACAATCGGCAAGGCAACGCATCTCCCAGAGTGCATCGCGGATATACACCCAGCAACCGTCACCTTGAGAGCAGTCAGTCCAAGATCGGGCTCAGCAACAAAGGCAAAGATCGACAATAAAAGCTTCCCGTTGCTCGACAACGTCAAGTTCCACAGTTCAACAAGGGAAGAGAGGGAGCATGAGAGCACCTCCCAAAACACCTTGCGTAAAAAAAAAGAAAATAGAAAGAATATTTAAGAATGAAAAAGTCAGCAGGAAGGGAACAATCTGAAAAAGAGAAGAGATGAGGAGGAAAACCGAAAAATTATTTAGAGGAAAAGCTACGAGTAAAATTTGAGATGACAGCAGCAGGAGCACAAGGCTTCAAAAGGACAGAGGAAAAGCCATCACACTCTGGCAGCCGGCCACTAAGACCCCGTTACGACGGCAACCAGCTGCAAAGGGAAGGGGGCTGGAAGTAAAAAGTAACTTGCTATTATAACTTCACCATTCCAAGTACAAAGATTAAAGTTATCAAAATAAGGCACCAAGCCGGTGGAACTATGCAGCACCACCAGTGTCGCTCTATATTTATTAATAATAATAAATAATAATAAATAATATATAAATATATATATATAAATGTATAAGGAAAATGCAATTATACGAGTTACTTCTCCAATATTGACCAATTAGCCATATGAAGTATTTGGTCCGAAAATAATAAAATAACCTTACCCTTACTGTACGAGAATATTAGGGGTAAAAACAAATTATAGCCATGTGGACCGAAGTTTACCACAAGGTACGAAAGTTCTCCAATACAAGACTAGATCCAAAATGGTCAAGAACAAAAATTGTTTCAGCACATGGCGATATTTAATCCAGTTAGAAACAGTTGCCACCAAGAATATACTTACATGTCTTAACAACTGATTGCAAGTCAATTATATCAGCAATTTCCAGTGAATTTATCTAACATCACTATTTAAACGTTTCTAGTTTGGTAATGTATTGCTCAGGCGAAACAAAAAAAAATTTCAAGGCGAGTAAGTCATAGAAAAATATACTTGTGCAAAACCCAGAGTTTAACCCATTAACCTAAGAATAAACCATATTTTGATTCTTCGAACCCTGGCAAAGCCAATATTTCCCACTTAAAGTACAGTAGGCAATCTAAAGTTAGCCACTAGCAATTCTTAAAAAATTACTCGCTCTAATAAACTTTCAACTACCAAGCCTAACATTATGCATTTTACCTGGAAATTCACAATATTGTAATCCATGTGCCCTAAACAGCAACTTACCCAATTAGACTGTGTTAAGGAAAATCTCTACAAACTTAACATTAAATAATTGAAATTGCACTGTACAGTATCTTACCTTTTTCTTGCACTTCAGCAGTTTTAAGAACTTGCTTGAGCCACAGATTAAGATCCACTTTTATTCCATCTAGCATCGAGTTTATAATGTCTGGCTGTAGTCTTCAGCTATATTCTTCATCCATACTAAACGAGTCTGAATCCACTTCGGGAATAATTGACACTAACTGATGAATAGGCAACAAGTGATTTGTTAGCATAGGTAGAGTTAAGTCCATAAATTGCTCCTGTCGTGTAGCTGCTTGCTCAGGCATGACGGGAACCTCAGCCTCATGTGGATAAAATGTGGTGGATAAAATGTCATCGTTAGTTGTAGGATGTAAATCAATTATTTCAACATAAACAATACGTGGAGGTGTAAAGGACTGAGAGGCACCGCTCCGACCGCTGTTAGCTGGAGAAACATCAAGAGGCTCGACGACGGCGGGGAGCCCACGTCCCCTGCCCAGAGGCCCGACGACGGCGGGGAGCCTACGCCTCCTGACCAAAGGCTCGATGACAGGGAAGTGCCAACGTCTCCTGCCCGGAGGCTCGACGACGGCGGGGTGCCCACGTCCCATGTCCGGAGGCTCGACGACGGCGGGGTGCCCACGTCCCATGCCCGGAGGCTCGACGACGGCGGGGTGCCCGCGTCCCATGCCCGGAGGCTCGACGACGGCGGGGTGCCCGCGTCCCCTGACCAGAGGCTCGACGACGGCGGGGTGCCCACGTCTTCTGACCAGAGGCTCGACGACGGCGGGGTGCCCACGTCTTCTGACCAGAGGCTCGACGACGGCGGGGTGCCCACGTCCCCTGACCAGAGGCTCTACGACGGCGGGGTGCCCACGTCCCCTGACCAGAGGCTCTACGACGGCGGGGTGCCCACGTCCCCTGACCAGAGGCTCTACGACGGCGGGGTGCCCACGTCCCCTGCCCGGAGGCTCTACGACGGCGGGGTGCCCACGTCCCCTGCCCAGAGGCTCGACGACGGCGGGGTGCCCGCGTCCCCTGCCCAGAGGCTCGACGACGGCGGGGTGCCCACGTCCCCTGCCCAGAGGCTCGACGACGGCGGGGTGCCCGCGTCCAATGCCCGGAGGCTCGACGACGGCGGGGTGCCCACGTCCCCTACCCTGAGGCTCGACGACGGCGGGGTGCCCGCGTCCCCTGCCCAGAGACTCGACGACGGCGGGGTGCCCGCGTCCAATGCCCAGAGGCTCGACGACGGCGGGGTGCCCGCGTCCCCTGCCCAGAGACTCGACGACGGCGGGGTGCCCGCGTCCCCTGCCCAGAGACTCGACGACGGCGGGGAGCCCGCGTCCCCAGCCCGGAGACTCGACGACGGCGGGGTGCCCGCGTCCCCTGCCCAGAGACTCGACGACGGCGGGGTGCCCGCGTCCCCTGCCCAGAGACTCGACGACGGCGGGGAGCCCGCGTCCCCAGCCCGGAGGCTCGACGACGTCGGGGAGCCCGCGTCCCCAGCCCGGAGCCTCGACGACGGCGGGGAGCCCGCGTCCCCAGCCCGGAGGCTCGACGACGGCGGGGAGCCCGCGTCCCCAGCCCGGAGCCTCGACGACGGCGGGGTGCCCGCGTCCCCTGCCCAGAGACTCGACGACGGCGGGGTGCCCGCGTCCAATGCCCAGAGCCTCGACGACGGCGGGGTGCCCGCGTCCCCTGCCCAGAGGCTCGACGACGGCGGGGTGCCCACGTCCAATGCCCAGAGGCTCGACGACGGCTTGGTGCTCACGTCCTCTCCTCTCTGTTAAAGATTTAATACTGTAATACTTGTATTTTTAAATCTTCCGCGGTTTATAGTAGCTGTCCTGGTTCTAACAATCCTAGAGACTGAGTTAAATAACGTTCGTCTCTTCAAAGAATTTTGTACTGCACTTACAATCCACGAATTCCCGTCAGGGATTATTATGTAAAATCAAAACCACTACAGATTACAATCCTGATTTATATGATATTAAAAATTAACTCTTAGTACCATTATTCTTTTAACACGATTAGGTGATTCATATCTATCTTTCCTACATTAGAGAATTATCCTGCCGAACTAAATCGCTCCCTCATACCGCGCACTTTATCAACACGCATACAGACATTCCCCTTTAAATTAACTAACAAACTTTACTTAGGCTGCATAAAGTGCATATTTGATGCAATTAATATATTTCTAATGTAATTACCAAGATATATCCCCAGAGGAAAAAATCACTTGACAAGTACAACTAACCACCATATGTAGGCTGATGACTAGTTGACTGAAACTGTACCCAGCACATCATACATCTTGTATTAATATCAGCAACAACTCACCATTATGATGGTCTGAAATACACATTTTAAAAACGAATTCCAACGGTTGCTGGAGATTAAAAGCCCAAGGACGAGCGAGGGGCAGAGAGCTCCAACAAGTGTCTCCACTGTACACTCGGGAAGCAGTTTACAGACCAACGCTGACCAGCAGCGAGGACAACAATTAAAATAAGCGGTAAAGAAACCGTGTGATGATCTGCGTCACGTGGCCACTTTCTGTTTTTGCCGTCAGTCGATAGATGGCTCTATCGACAGAACTGTCATGGTAGTCAAATCAGAAGCTTTATTCCCTAAATAGTTGTACATTTAAAATTAGGACGGTTTATATGATATTTCAGTACATTAATTATATGCCATATTAACATGATAGCAAGTAGACATTGTCGTTATCAGAATCTTAAACTGTGTTACAGATGGGGACACACCAGACTTTATACAATTAAGTAACCACTTTCTTTTCCTTAAAGTCAAAGGTTTGTTCTACTATTCCCAGGGTTTGGTTGGCTTTTATTTTTTGTTTGGAAGTTCCTACCTGTTGTGCAACTTTTAATGACTGGTGGATTCTGACTCCATGTCCTTTTCTTCTTTGATCTGCTGCAAGGTAATGTTGTTGATTTAATAGTTGTGATGTGCATTGTTATGTCCTACATGCAAGGTCTGGCATTTATTAATATTAAAAGTATTTGCCAGTCTTCCGACCATGTGTGGAGTTTATACCCACACCCCAACACCCCAGCACTCACTACACCCCCTCCCCGCCCCAAACACATCAGACTCAACCTCCTCAATCACACTCAAACATTCACAGGACACTGGAAGATAGAGGAGTTAGGGAAGCCATGATCGCTACCTGTACAATTCTCAGAGGAATTGACAGGGTAGATAAAGACACATTGTCACGAGTGGAACGCTGACAAGGGGACAGAGGTGGAAACTGAGTACCCAAATGAGCCACAGGGACGTTAGAAAGAACGTTTTCAGATGTCAGGGGTAACTAACAGATGGAATGCATTAGGCAGTGATGTGGTGGAGGCAGACACGTACACAGTTTCAAATGTAGATATGATAGAGCCCATTTGGCTCAGGAATCTATACATAAGTTCATTGACAGTTGAGAGGCGAGACCAAAGAGCCGAAACTCAACCCCCCAAACACACCTGGGAGGCCCCTCCCCCACTCCCCCAACACACACAATCAGTAACCTAAGATGATATTCTCAGATCCTTTAACAACAACTCCAACACACTGTATATTAATGTATGCATGCACTCACTCACGAACACACACACATGCAATCGATCACTCTTACACACACACACACACACACACACACACACACACACACACACACACACACACACACACACACACACACACACACACACACACACACACACACACTGCTGTACTCGGTCCTATCTTGTTTCTGATACATGTAAATGATCTCCCGGAGGGTATAGATTCTTTTCTCTCAATGTTCGCGGACGATGCCAAAATTATGAGAAGGATTAAGACAGAAGAGGACTGTTTGAGGCTTCAAGAAGACCTAGACAAGCTGAAGGAATGGTCGAACAAATAGCTGTTAGAGTTTAACCCAACCAAATGTAATGTAATGAAGATAGGTGTTGGGAGCAGGAGGCCAGATACAAGGTATCATCTCGGAGAGGAAATTCTTCAGGAATCAGAGAAAGAAAAAGACTTGGGGGTTGATATCACGCCAGACCTGTCTCCTACAGCCCATATCAAGAGGATAACATCAGCGGCATATGCCAGGCTGGCCAACATACGAACGGCATTTAGAAACTTGTGTAAGGAATCTTTCAGAACTTTGTATACCACATATGTCAGGCCAATCCTGGAGTATGCAGCCCCAGCATGGAGTCCATATCTAGTCAAGGATAAGACTAAACTGGAAAAAGTTCAAAGATTTGCCACCAGACTAGTATCCGAGCTGAGAGGTATGAGCTACGAGAAGAGACTATGGGAATTAAACCTCACTTCGCTGGAAGACAGAAGAGTTAGGGGGGACATGATCACCACATTCAAGATTCTGAAGGGAATTGATAGGGGTAGACAAAGACAGGCTATTTAACACAAGGGGCACACGCACAAGGGGACACAGGTGGAAACTGAGTGCCCAAATGAGCCACAGAGATATTAGAAAGAACTTTTTCAGTGTCAGAGTGGTTGACAAATGGAATGCATTAGGCAGTGATGTGGTGGAGGCTGACTCCATACACAGTTTCAAGTGTAGATATGATAGAGCCCAGTAGGCTCAAAAATCTGTACACCTGTTGATTGACGGTTGAGAGGCGGAACCAAAGAGCCAAAGCTCAACCCCCGCAAACACAACTAGGTGAGTACTGCTTAAATTTCTAACAAATTAGAGTAGATGGAAGGAGATGGCCGTGACACAACATGTGTAGTGGTGCTTGGACGCCTGGGTGTAAAGTGACACAACATGTGTAGTGGTGCTTGGACGCCTGGGTGTAAAGTGACACAACATGTGTAGTGGTGCTTGGACGCCTGAGTGTAAAGTGACACTACATGTGTAGTGGTGCTTGGACGCCTGGGTGTAAAGTGACACTACATGTGTAGTGGTGCTTGGACGCCTGGGTGTAAAGTGACACAACATGTGTAGTGGTGCTTGGACGCCTGGGTGTAAAGTGACACAACATGTGTAGTGGTGCTTGGACGCCTGGGTGTAAAGTGACACTACATGTGTAGTGGTGCTTGGACGCCTGGGTGTAAAGTGACACAACATGTGTAGTGGTGCTTGGACGCCTGGGTGTAAAGTGACACTACATGTGTAGTGGTGCTTGGACGCCTGAGTGTAAAGTGACACACAACATGTGTAGTGGTGCTTGGACGCCTGAGTGTAAAGTGACACTACATGTGTAGTGGTGCTTGGACGCCTGGGTGTAAAGTGACACTACATGTGTAGTGGTGCTTGGACGCCTGGGTGTAAAGTGACACAACATGTGTTGTGGCGCTTGGACGCCTGGGTGTAAAGTGACACAACATGTGTAGTGGTGCTTGGACGCCTGGGTGTAAAGTGACACAGTAAAAGAACTCTTGTATAAATAAATGAATAAGTAAACAAACTATGGTACAAGAACCATTGATCAATGTTTGTTTTCAGATATGAGACTGGAGGCGAGACAGCTGCAGTACATGTATATAGTGTAATATTAATAAGTTTATGATTTAATAAGATTATGTGGAATTAATTAACGTGTACAATATTCATTCCGTAACCGTTGAATAAATAAGAAGGGAAGTTAAGGGGAGTTGAGTAAATCTACAGGTACAAAGTTGTTTGGCAAGCTATCTATCACACCTGGCTTGGAGAATGACACTCCGCGCTATAGCTTTTTATATCCCGTGTTATGACCCCATGAAGCCTGGGTGAAACGAGTGTTCCTTTCTGAGAGTTATTCTACCTGCCGGACCTGAGATTGAGAGGTCAGTGTAAAGATGCATATATTAAATAATTGAATAAATGTCAGTGAGTAATCTCAGGATACTAGCAGAGGATTGGCGTGTTACGTGTTCCTAGTTGGATACGTATATAAATTCATGATAATACTGAAGTTCAATTTCATCATTATGAAATTGAAGTTCAATTTCAATTTCATTGTATATATATATATATATATATATATATATATATATATATATATATATATATATATATATATATATATATATATATATATATATATATATATATATATATATATATATATATATATATATATATATATATATATATATATATATATATATATATATATATATATTGTTTTTTTGAAATGTATCGTGTTAGTTGGCAGTATCAGTGGGGACAGGAGCGGGATTGATCTTCACACGTTTAATACCTGTTTGATTCGGGGGAATTAGATTGCTGGACCTGTTCAGTTATGGCAGTTCCAGATGTCACCTTTTAATATTCATATATTTGTTAATTTACTGTAATTAAGCATGTGACATTGTAACTTATATTATTTGCAAGTAACCATTATATTATAGTTTGCATTCTTATACATTTGAGAATAATTGTTTGTTAAATTAGTTGTAAATATTAAAAGTCCTTATTTACCATCTCTCATCCTGGATGGAGGCGGAGGGAGAGAGAGAGAATTATGGGTAGTGACGGGGAGAGTCAGTTAGCTGTGAGACGTCTTCTGGGTAACATTAAGTTAAGTTCTGTTCTGTTGTAGATAGGTTAGTATAATTTTGTCTGGTTGACAGTTTCCTTTAATTATTTAGCCATTGATTAAGTGATTGCCATCTTATATAATATTGATATATGTTTTTAGTTGTGTATAAATATATATTAATCTATATAGCTGTTTGGATTATGCTACAACCAACCTGGTGTATATTGTTTATTCTTTCTTGTACCCCCCCCCCCCCCGTTTAGCTGGTTGATGCCGTGAGGGGGGGCTTGGTGGGCGGCTGCCGGAGTGTGATGCTCCTTGGGACGGTCCTCTGTCCTTTTCTAGCCTTGTGCTCCTGCTGCTGTCCTCTCAAATTGTGCTGAACAACTTTTCCTTATGTTTCGTTTTTCTCCCCCTCTTCTCCTATCTGCTTGTCGTTTCCTGCCGACCTTTTGCTTGTTTTGGTTATTCCTTTAGACTTTTTCTATTTTGACGCAAGGGTGCTTGAGGAGGCATACTCTTGCACCCGTAGAACTGTAGTACCCGACGTCGAGAGCGAGGGGGAACCTTTTATTGTCAATCCTCCTTCCATCGCTGAACCCGATCTCGACGGACTGATGGAACCCGATCTCGACGGACTGATGGAACCCGATCTCGACGGACTGAGAATTAGGAGCCCCAGCTGGGGCTGGGGCTCCTAATTCTTCTGCTCTCTTGATTCGCTCTGATGTTCCCTTTGTCCCCTTACTTTTTTCTTCACCTCTCCATTGTTCTGCTGCTCGTATCTTTGTGGGGAAATGGTACACAGTTTGTTCCATTTATCTCACCCCGAGTGTCCCACTTTCTCTTCCTGATCTGAAACACCTACTGGACGCCTGTGCTCCTGCTGGGTGATTTCAATTGTTGTCATTCCCTTTGGGGTGATGTTCTGACGAACACCCGGGGTCGCCTTCT